GGGACTGCTGAGCGCCCCACCACCTCTCATCCCAGCTTCCAACACTCGGCCCTGCTCCCCTCGACGAGCCCCCGATATACGAGAACTGGCAGCCTCCTACAAGGACCGGGACTCCAGATAATGGTGCTCTGGTGGCGCTCTGGAATGTGAACACCTCTATCAAGCAGCCTCCCTGATCTCCAGGAACTGATGGGACAGGATCAGGGGAGTCTAGGAGGCCCGTCCAAATTAGTGGGGAGAGGAAGGTGGCTTTCTGGTCACCAGAGCCTGAGTTAGGGATATGCTGCTCCTCACCCGGAAGGACTTTGACATTGGAGTTGAATAACGGGGTGCATTTGGGGGAAGAGGTCAGGAAGGCAGGTGCCTGTTCTTGTTCCTGATTTCTGCAAAGGCCTCCTCTTCCAGCCTTTGAAGATGTCGGGATTTCTGTACTCCTTCCAGCATTCCTGCTGGGCTAAAAACAGGCTCGGTGTGTTCTTTATCCTCTGTGGACTGAAGGGAAGGCTGCTTTCAGGAGAAGGGGGAGGGCTTGAATCTCGGGGCACCTCCCTCATGAGGCAGTGTAAATATTTATATATTCTTCCCTAGGCAGATGGGGAAAAGGTTTTTGTACATTTATAAAAGGTTTGAGATTGTGATTTAAAAAGTGACTTCTCTTCTTCCTCCCCCCTCCTGCCCTCTTTTGTTCCCCCTTGTTTTTACTGTACTGCTCTTTTCTATACCTGTATTCATTCACTCCTGATCCCTTTCCTTTTCCTGTAATTAATGGGATGGTGCAACACACGTGTCCGGTGCCCTTTTCTTCCCCAGGCTGGTTAATTAAACTCCAAACTGGTGCTTCTCGATTCCTTGCTGTGTGTGTGTTAGTTGAGGAAAAGGGAGGGGGGGGAGATACAGGTTCTCACCTTCTTCCAGGACAGTAGAGAGCAAATGAGAGAGTGCGGAGTGGTACAAGGTGAAATTCTTGGATGGGAAACTGCTCTCTTGGATAGTTTCAATTTTTGAAGTCTCTGAAAAGCATAAATGGCGCTGAATACAGAATCTATATAGTGCTTTAATGGAAACGCCCTTGTGGCCCTGAACATATTCACAGAGCACAGCTATCATGTAAATTTAGAGCTGCTGTTTGTGGGAGGCAGAAACTCGGCAGAATCAGCAGTGCTTTGGTGAAAGAATTGGAGCCTGCTTTCCTTTCCACTGTTTTAAAGTAGAGCTGCTCAACAAGCAGTTCCTTCAGGTACTGTCTGCAGTCCCCAAGTATCACTAAAAGATGCCCTGGATTATACTTGTTAATATGGAAAAGGGGCAGAATTATTAAATACATGGGAAATAATCGTATACACTGCTCATTTGTTTGTTTTTCAAAAAATAGTTTTTCTTGCAATACCTACCGTATTTTCCGGCGTATAAGACGACTGGGCATATAAGACGACCCCCAACTTTTCCTGTTAAAATATAGGGTTTGGGCTATACTTGCCATATAAGAGTGCCCCTCTTCCAATGCACACCAAATAAAAATTAAAAAACATCAACTGGCTCACCTACAATGTAAAAGCAGCTATGCTAGACCCAAAATGGCCCCTGTAACAAGCAGGAACCTCACACAGCCACAAAAAGCCCCCCCAAAAAACTTTCACACTCTAAACACACACAACACAACACAACTGGCTCACCCACAATGTAAAAGCAGCTGTGCTAGACCCAAAATGGCCCCTGCAACAAGCAGGAACCTCACACAGCCACAAAAAGTCCAAAAAACCAACTTTCACACTTTACACACACAAAATTCCACATACAGCTTTGTGAGATTTTGTGTGTTTGTGTAGTTGGAGTGAAACACTACAGAAACACACTAAATCTCAGAAAGCTGCACAAATATTATTTTATTTTATTTTATTTTTATTTTTATATGAAAGCTAAATTTAAAACTTCCTAAACTTTAAATGGCTAGGTCTAAAAAAGAACAACTAAAAAAACCCCAATTGACTATTTTTTTTAAAGCTCCCAAAGGGGAAAAATCTTACCCAATAGAACAGGGGTCTCCAACCTTGGCAACTTTAAGACTTGTAGACTTCAACTCCCAGAATTCCTCAGCCAGCTTTGCTTTGCTGGCTGAGGAATTCTGGGAGTTGAAGTCCACAACTAACTCCTTGCTTGATTGCAGGCAGGGAGTTGCTTGCTTGCCTGAATAGATTCAAGCAAGCAAAGCAAGGCAAGCGTTGCGATTAGCAGCTGAGGTAAGCAAGCTGGAGGGGGAAAACTTTTTCCCTTTTACGTGGTTTCTGGCGATCCCAGCTGAGTTGCAGGGAACTCAGCTGGGATCCTCAGAGCTGGGATCCTCAGAGTAAAAGGGAAAAAACTTTTTCCCTTTTACGTGGTTTCTGGCGATCCCAGCTGAGTTGCAGGGAACTCAGCTGGGATCCTCAGAGCTGGGATCCTCAGAGTAAAAGGGAAAAAACTTTTTCCCTTTTACGTGGTTTCTGGCGATCCCAGCTGAGTTGCAGGGAACTCAGCTGGGATCATCAGAGCTGGGATCCTCAGAGTAAAAGGGAAAAAACTTTTTCCCTTTTACGTGGTTTCTGGCCATCCCAGCTGAGTTGCAGGGAACTCAGCTGGGATTGTCAGAGCTGGGATCGCCAGAGCTGGGATCGCCAGAGCCATGTAAGGCTCGTCAGAGCCTTTCGGGCTGGTCTGCCTGGTTACAGGAGAACTACACCCGGCGTATAAGACGACCCCCGACTTTTGAGAAGATTTTCATGTGTTAAAAAGTCGTCTTATACGCCGGAAAATACGGTACTTTGTTTTGGCTTGCTTAGCCCAGTTTGAAGAGTGCTCCCCATCTGCACAGATTTGGCCCTTAATCTATAAACTTTTCTGACATCTTGAAGAATAAATCAAGTTCTGCATATGGTCCTGCATATAATTGCAGTTAAAAATGGGGGTTTGCATTTTGTTTCCTCCACCCTCATCTTTTTTTGTACTAAACCATAGAATAAGCCCACAAGTTTCACCTAATAAAATCTTGGCTGCAAAGTGGAGTGTTTCCTGCCATAACACATCACTAAATTCAAAAAGGCAAATGCCTTGGAGTGAAATATTATCATCCAGAATAAATATTTGCTAGGCGAGACCCTAAGTGAGTTAGATAAAAATGTTTAGATACTTTGCCAAAATTTGGGGTCTTTATTGGAATACAAGAAGTACCGTAGGTATCTGTGAGCCTTCCTTGAATATTATGGAGTGCAGTATTCCAGGGTTCCAGCACTTAACACTTTTATTAAATCATTTGTCATTTTGTTTGAATTATGAATCGGACAGAGCTATGCCCAGAATGCCTTTTGATCCAGTTCGCTTATCCACAGGGAACCTTGCTGGTAGTTAAACAATTTTTCAGTTCAGTTCACACTCAGTCAGCACACCTCTGTAATTTCATCAGTAATAATATTGTCTTTTTTTCCCTTACTGCTGCCTTCCATATTTTTTAATCTTTTCAGTTTAGCTTCAGCTTCCTGATGTTCTAAGGCTGTCCAACCCTCCTTAGTTTTTCTGTGGTGAGCCAAGGTCAATTAGATGCTGCGCCTGAGCTTTCAAACTTAGCACAAACACTCCTAACGTTGATAAAGGCGAATCACTCCCCAAAGCAAAGCAGACAGTGTGGAACTATTAATCAGGCATATCTTTCAACCTCCTTTAGCCCCAAATACATTTGGTATCTATGTGCACGGTGATATATGCCATATCCCTCCAAATCCTCTGTTGTCAATTTAATAGTATAGTCTCATCTCAGATCAGCACAGCAACAATCCAGAAATCAGCCTCACTGGAATTAATTCAAAGCATCTTTTTGTACAATATCCCATGTATTAGATGCAATCTAATCTAACTCACGAGAGCAGGAAAAAATAGAGGTATAAAGCACAAGGGGAAATAAAAGCACTAATTTTCCCTTTCTACCTCTGCCAATCCAGAAATTAAAAGGTCTTAAATATTTAGAATAGGCCTAACTAATGGTGGCAAAAGCTTCTACACATCTTTAAATCCTGAAATGTCTGGGACATCAGCATCCATTTTTGCTATTTTTCTAAATCTCAATTTTTAAGAATACACACATGCAATTTATAAATTTGTTTTAAATAATGAAATGGAAAACAAATGCAAGCACTTCTACTATGGTACAAAATTACTTGGATTAACACATTAAAATAAACTGCAACATTTAATATTCTGTGCCAACTTCCAGTAGTAGACATAAAAAGTACTCTCTTAACATACAAATTAATTCTTATTTTCCTATAATCTTCATAATTCTTATGCATCTTTACCAAATGTAATCAATCTGAAGTGGGTAATAAAAATGAAAGCTCTAATAAATTTTGTATTGAAAAGCTTCTAGAAGATCGGATCACAATCATCAAAAGTATCAATACCATATTTTGCATCTTTCTGAATCAAAACATCCAAAATATCAAGGATAGCCCTATGCATTTCGATTTAAAAGTGCCATTGGGATCAGTGGATTTAACTATATTTTTTAAAAAAAGCAGAAATACTTAATACAAAGAACCTCTACACAGAATTCTCATTAAATAAAAAAATGATCCATTTGGTGTAGCTTCTTACAGGTCCAAAATACTACACAAAAAATAGTTGTACTTTTTTGAGATCAGAATAAAAATACATTAAAATGTCCTTAAAAAACCCAGTCACTTTGAATTTAAATAGTAAACATAGGATTAAGGATTTATTTCATTTACTTATATGCCGCCTGTATTATTTTTACAAATGACTCAAGGTAGCGAAAATATCCAATACACTTTCTTCCTCTTTTCCCCCACAATTCACTTGGACTAAGTGTGAGGTCACCCAGCCATCTTTCATGGCTGAGGCAGGACCAGAACTCACAGTCCCCCACTTTCCAGCCTGGTGATTTAACCGCTACATTGTCAAGAGTATATTCAGAAAGTGAATCGAACAGTAGGGTTTAATAGAGAAAAACATGCTTCAGCAAGAGAAAATGTAGCTTTATTTGATAGATGGCTATCCATTTTCAAATAAATATGTACATGGATGAGGTAGTCCCATTTGGAGCCACAATTACATCCAGTGGTTTCAAACTGACTCATTCAAACTAACAGACTTTTTAGATAATATTCAGAATCATGCTAAAATATTTATCAAAGAAAATTAGGTACTTCAAAATCGAAGGAATTTGTTTTTGCACCAATGGAACAGAAATTGCCTTCGGAAGTCGTGGGAGCTTCATCACTTGAGACTTTCAAGAAAAGACTGGACTGCCACTTGTCAGAAATGGTGTAGGATCTTCTGCTTGAGCGGGGGGTTGGACTAGATGACCTATAAGGTCCCTTCCAACTCTGTTAATCTGTTAAGTACAAAGCAAAACAGTTAGGCTGTCCTTTTCTGTCACATCAATATTTTGTCAGGGCTGGAAGCCATCTTTTTCATTGGATCTTCAGGCCTGCCACATTTACTACAGTGGAAAACTGGGAGGGGGGATTGTATGGAGCACAGGTGATATATAGTCATAATAACATTCCTTTCTCAGAAAGTCAAGGACATCTTGCCCTGCAAGGCTGGAACTGGGAGGCATCTCCAGTTGGGAGTTGGGCAGGGACTTGAACTTTCCTTTGGGTGGGGGAAAACCTGGAACTTTGAAGAAACTCAAAGCGGATTTAGCTGCTATAGTTATTGTATATCTGTAGAAAAAGTTTTCACAAGCATTAAGTTCACAACAAAAATTCAGTAGCCCTTGATTTATGACCATAACTGGGACCAGAATTTCTGTTGTTAAGTGAGTCACGCCTGATTTTACCACCTTCCCCCCCTCCCAGTTTTCTTTGCATGTGGGAAGCTGAGTGGGAAGATCGCATGATCTTGGGACCCTGCAACTGTTGTAAATACATGCCTATTGCCAAGCACCTGACTTTTAATCATATAACCCCGGGGAATGCTGCAATGGCTATAAGTGTGAGAACTGGTCGTGAGTCACTTTTTTTCAGCGCCACTATAACTATGAACGGTTGCTAAATGAATGGTTGTAGGTTGAGGACTACCAAAAGGTCAGGTCCCATAGATTCCTATAGGGATACTGTCATTCTGATGGGAGAGGGGAGGCTTGGGGAGGGTTTCTGTATGGAGTTTGTGTTTCTATTCCTTGCTTTTCTTTGCTGTAACTTTCGGGGCTTTGGGAGGGAAAAGGAATGTGTTCGAGCCAGCTGCCTTATCTCGTCTCTGGAGAAGGGCAGCAGCGTTGCCTTGGAGACCGGCATTTATCACCTTCTCGGCCTGAGTTTCCCATAACATCTTCACAAATTGGGATTGGCTCAATAATGTATTTGGACTTTAGAAGGGGCTCTGTCTGCAATGGTTTAAATAATCTAACATTTCAAGCGGGAAAAGTTAATTCCTGCGTAGATCTATTGCTATCATAATCTTCCAATAAAAGTTTAATTTCAAGACATCTGCTTTCTTGAGAAGATTGGAGAGTCAGGACCTTACACAAACTCACACATTCTGTTGGAATAACATTGCATTAAATATTTTTTCTTCTTGGAATGTATTTAGGGGAGCTGAATTAAGTAACTTAAATATCCTTTGGATAAAAAGTTAGGTTACCAAAGAATGGAATCATATGCAGTCATCCCCAAGAAACCTATGAAGCAGTGCTAGACACAATGCCACCTTTCTAATTCAGAAAACAGCCACAGATACAGGCCTGAAAAATGGAGCAAAAATAGTCATTGTGAGTTGGACATGTACAAGAAATTATCTACCCAAAACTGAATGACTAAAACTATCATATTTCCCATGTATAACCTATTTTATAAAATAATATTCTAATAAATTGGAAATGTCTTTCAAAATCAGCGAAATACAGTATAACAATGCATAGTATAATTTTTTTATTATAACTACATAACACCATGGAAAGAAACAGCTTAACTGCATGATACTATTTTTTACCTAGACATAAGCCCTTTTGAACCATGTACCTTTGGTTGCAACTTAAAATATTAAAATGATGCTCTATCTATAATGTGGAAATAACATTTTCTTGATAAAACATACATCTGTTTTTGCAGAATACAGGTAGTCCTTGACTTACGACCACCATTAAGCAAACAATTCCTTTTAAGTGAGACATTTGTTAAGTGAGTTTTGCCCCCATTTTACAACCGTTCTTGCCACAGTTGTTAAATGAATCATTGCAGTTGATAAGTTAGTAACCCGGTTGTTAAGTGAATGTGGCTTCCCATTGACTTTATTTATTTATTAGTCCAATTTATATACCGCCCTTCTCCATAGACTCAGGGCGGCTTACAATGCATTATAGCAATAGCCTGCATACTTTTTTGTATATACCTGCTTATTAGGGCTTTTGGGGGCTCCCTAAGCGGTGTTGTTGTATACAAAGTTGGCTTATTGCCCCCACAATCCGGGTCCTCAATTTACCTACCTTGAAAGGATGGAAGGCTGAGTCAACCTTGTGCCTGGTGAGATTCGAACTTGCACTAATTGCAGGCAGCTGGCAGCTAAGTGCTAGCACTTAACAGCCCTTTAGTCCACTGCACCACCGAGACTTTGCTCATTAGGTGGCAAAAAGGGATCACATGACCTTGAGACACAGCAATGATAATAAGTATTAATCAGTTGCTAAGCATCTGAATTTTTATCACATGATCATGAGGCTACTACAAAGGTAACTCTGACTAAGGTAACTTTCAGTGGTGGTGTAACTTTGAACCAGTTACTGAATGAACTGTTATAAGTCAAGGACAACCTGTATATAAAGTCAACACTGAGAATTTGTTGTCAGGAAATATTTCAAGTTATTGGCAGTTTTATAGGACTTCATGCTGATAGCCAGCCCCACTTTTTATTGCTGAATTTTTTTTTGTTCTAATCAAACATGTTCCTTGTTGATAGGAGATTGAGGGGTTGTAACATTTTGTACCGTTTTCACAACCTAAATCAACAGTTCCTGTCAAAACAGATGCACTCTAAAACTTTTGCTACTTGGAAAATGTTTGCCAGTTGCCCGTCAAATATATTTTAAAGTAAATCGAATTTTATTTCCCATTGACAATCGTACAGTAAAGGACGGGTGCGGGGGCGTTTGGACCTACAACCTCATATACACAAAAATTTGAATGGTCGCGCCAGCCCGCTCAACAGAGGCGCCCTGGTTCCTGTTTTCATTCTTCCCAGGGGAGGGGGGGGCGGACGGAAAGGAGCGACTGCAATTCCCAGCATTCCTGGGGACTTCATTTCCCAACATGCCCTTCGCTCACAACGGCCTTGCCCTTTCCCCGTGGGATGAGCGACCCGCTCCCTGTTCTTGGTATATGATCGCTACAGAAAGCTTCTCAGGCTTTGGCGGAGTCTTCGTTAGTCATCCATACGCTTTGTACAAAATCACCTTCCGGTTGAATCCTTTCTCACCCCCTCACGCTCCGTCTCCCCCTCGCGTAGCTCGAATTCTCGCGAGACTTCCATGCCGAGGCCGGCGGGCGGAGGGAGCAGTGGGAGGAGGGAGGGGGTTGGCCCTGGCGCTTGGTGGTGGCGGCCGCCATTTTGCCACGGCGGGTCGGGTCTGCATCGGCGGGGCCTGGTTAGGGATTCACAGCCGAGTGGGAGGGGTCAGAGACCTGCCGAGGAATACCGGCGGGGGCCACGCACAGGAAAAAGCCGACCGGCAGCTGCTTAGGAGCCACGGATGGCGGCAGATTCTATCCGACCGAGGCGGCGGCGCTGGGGCTGAGGTGGCGGCAGGAGGAGGCGGGGCAGGAGGCACCTCCCCTCCCTCCTCACTCCTCCCCCCTCCCACCCAGGTAAGATGGCGGACCGGCCGGGTCTCTACTCCTCTTGCTCACACCCACCTCTGTGGAGCGGTGCGAGACTCTGCGTTGAGTCGGGAGGGAAAAGTGAGGAAATTAACAAGAACGTCCGCGTGCCCCCTTTTCCCCCTCCGCATTCCTCGATGGCTATTTCCCCCCTACCTCTAGAGGGCGTGCTAGCGGAAGGAGCGTGAGACCAATTAGAGAGCGCACGCGCTTCAGCCAACGGCCGCGGCCGATGCCGATGCCGGCCTATTATTACTTAAGCCGTCGCCGTTCTCTCTGTCGCTCCCCCCGCCCCTCCCCTCCCTCCCCCGGCAGCTCGTCGTCTTTGCGCGCGCCGCGGATCCGGACGGCCGACCAACCAACCAACCAACGGCTGCAGCTTCCTCTGTGCGTGGTAGGGGGGAGGGGCAGGTGGGGAATCTTGTGGGGAAGGGGCTCGGGAGGGTCGGGGGCGCGTGGGAGGGAGGGGTTTGAGGCGTCGGGAGGGGGCAGGGGGGGGGAAGAGGGCGGGGATAAGGGGGAACAAAGGGTTAAAGGGAGGGGGAGGGAGCGAACGGCGGCGAACTTAGGCTGAAGAAAGAAAGAAAGAGAAAGAAAAGAAAAAGAAAGGGAAAAGTATCCTCGGGGCATGTTCAGAAAACGCGATTACGGTCTTGGGTGTTCGGGGAATCTGGTCAGAGAGGAAAGTGGGTGCAAGTTTGGAGAGCTTTAGGGTTTTTTTCCCAGGCCAGAGTGATTGCAAAGGTCTCAAGGCGTTGGGTGTGTGCGTTAAAAGGCACTGAAGTGTGAGGTAGCCTGGGATAACAGTTGAATGAAGCTTGGGCTGGAGTGGAGACACTCTCATTTACTACATCTCATCAACTTGAGTTGGAAAGGCTTGCGAGAAGCTGAGTAACTAAAGGGGGGGAAGAGTCGTATGAACATGGAGCCCGAGAAGGGACCTAAAGAAGATCAAGCTGATAGTGCTGGAAATGAGGGGCTGAATCAAGAGTCCACGGTGGAAAAAAATAACGAAGTGAACAAGGGGGGAGAACCATTACTTCCAGAGGCAGCTGTGTTAGAGGGGCAGGATCGGGAAATTTTGGGGGACGAGGGTGAATTAAATCAAGGAGGAGTTAATGTGTCTGCAGGAGAAGCAGAAGAAGAAACTCCAAAGGACATAGATGAGAGGAAGATAGGGATTGTTGAAGAAAGTAGAATTTTAGAAATGGATGAAAAAGTTGATTTGGCAAATCAGGATCAGAGGGAGAAAGAAGTTAATGCAGATACTGAAGGAAAGGCTGATTATCCACACAACTTGGATGCGAAGAGCATTAAAGAGACAGCTGATAGGGAAGGCAGGGCATTGGAGAAGGCTGAAAAAGAGATTGTTGAAACCACAGAGATTCAAAAAGAGGATAATGATTTGTCAGGATTGGGTCAGGAAGGCAATTTAGAGGTAACTGAAGAGGGAAAGGATGTAGTAGCAGATGCAACATCAGTACATCAGAGACAGACTGAAAAATCTGTAGAATTAGGAATGGAGCAAAATAAGGTATACATCAAAGCTGAGGATGAGGAAACAGCTGGAGTAGAGCAGAGTTTAATTGCACGTGAAACAGAGACATCAGTAGAAACCCAGGAAAAACCTAAGGAAGCATTGGAAAATCTCAGGGAATCTGGAGAGATAACTGGAAAGAGAGATGCAACAATAGCTGACGAGAAAGCCAGGCTGTTAGAAACAAATCAAGTACATGTTGAAGAGGCTGGGAAAGCATCAGAGGCAGAGAAGTTACTTGAGGGAAGTCAGGGAGAAAGCGGGCAACCAGTGGGAGAGCAAAAAGTAAGTGCTGTGACATTAACAGTGGTTGAAGCTGAAGCAGAATATTTGCAAGAATCAAGTGAGATGGTAATGGGAGGGGAGGATATCCCACTAGTTGTAGAGGCAAAGGAGGCAAGAATTGGGAAAGTGACTACAGAAGAAGTTGTGATTATACCAGCAGTTGAAGTTAAAGTTGAAAATTTGATGGACACTAGTGAAACACAGATGGGAGAGGAGGATGTGGCACTAAATGTAGAATCAAAGGGAGAGACAATGGAAGAGTTGATTGCAGAGAAAGATGTAGGAGAAGTACCAGAAGTACCAGAAACTATAAGTATAATACAAGAAGAAATCCCTCTGACAGTAATGGAAGAAATACCTGTGCAAATTCAGGTTAAGGGAAGCAAAGAAAAGACTGAATCAGAGATGATTGAAGAGAAAATTGAAGATTTGACACAACCTGAACAAAAGCCAGAAGAACAAGTAGAAGAGAGGGAAGGCGAACAATTGTCTCCAGCTGGCATGATTGATAAAGTGGAAACTGGGGAATTAGAGATGGCATTATCAATTAATCAGAATGAAATAATGAAAAGCCCAAGGCCATCTCAGGAAAAGGTGGAGATTCCTGTCATAGATGCTGTGGGAGAAAAATTACCATTCCAAGAAAAGATTTTAGTCTGGAGTCCAGAATTGGAAAGACCAACTCAAGAGATAGCAGGGGTGGGCTCCAGACAATATCCAGGGATATCCAGATCATATAAGCAAGAGGATAAACTAAGCCGAGAACTTATTGCAGAATTGATAAGAATTGGCCAGGAAAGAAGAGATTTGGGCTTAAGTCAAATAGAATTATTAGAAACAAGCATAAAGCTTACTGAAGAATTAGATAAATTGGGTAGTGAAGAACACAGAGTGAAAGGTAAAATAATTGTGGGTTTGGCAGGGCTAAGACAAGGACCAATTCAAGTAACACCGCATAGGACCGTTCGGTCAGCAGGAGGCTATGATGGAGTGTTGGCACATGTAGCTCCAGGATTAATTGTAACTGGTTTAAGGAAGCCTGAGGGAAAGAGACTAAAAAAACAAGATCATATGCAGTTGGACAAGAGGACATTAGAACAAAGGGAGACGCGATCAGCTGAACGGGGGCGTTTTGGAGTAAGCATGAGGTCAAATGAAGCGATGGTCTTCATGGGTTACCGAATTGGGCGGGAAAGAATGTCTTGTTTGTCAGAGGCAGAGAAGAGGATGGTGAAAATTCAGCTGCCTGAGGAGACTGGGAAAAAGCCTGCAATAGAACAGGTAGAGGTACCCAGGCAAGAACAGGAAGTGAGTAAGGAAAAGATACAAGAAATTAATGCCAGTGAAGTAGAATGGCATCAGTTAGAAGAACTGCCAACAGCATGGCTTGGTAGACCATTGACGCGAGATTATAGGGCAGCACAAGAAAGTTCTGGGTGGACTGCAGGCATAGGGCCAGGACATGGGCGTATTTCAAGGTCACTTCGGGCAGGAATAAAAGAGAGAATTAACTTGATGGTCATGGGTGAAAGTGTAACAAAATCAGCAGTACAGAAGCTTGAGCCATTAAATTTTGGAATGAGAAGAAGGATGTTTGAGCTTACAAGCAAGTCTGCTAATGTGCATTGGTTAAATGAGATATTGAGGCCAAGACCACCAGGTTTTCGACTTGGTGTTGCAGATCAGAAGATTCATGAGGAAGGAAGTCCTAGCCTGATGACTGAAAGGCAAAGTCCTGGTTTGTTTACAAGGAAAAAAGAACTAAAAGATTGGAGGGATGGGGTGATGGGAATAGCAATCAGGAGATACAATGCAATGCGACTTGCTATGTGGGGCGAAGGCCCAATTGGTTTGCACATAAAGGGGAGGAAGTTGGCTGAGGATTCATATGGTCCTGCAAGTCGCTCCCATAAGGTGAGTTCCATTTTGGGACATGTTGAGAGGAGAGTGTTAACAATGGCACAGCAGGTAAGAAATGAGAGAGTACCAGGTTTGGAAGTGGGTGGACAAAGTCTGGCTGAGATACTGAAGCAGGAAATGGAGTTAGCAAGGTCAAAGAAAGGTGAGAAATTTTCAAGGTAATTGGTGAAAGAAATTATGCCATTTGTTTAGGGATATTGGGTTGTTTAAGAATTAGTGGAAAAGCAGAGAATGTATAGAGAATAGTGCAGTTTAAGAGCAAAGCTTCAGGTTGAGAGGATTTATATATTTGTCAAAGGAATAGAGAAAGGTGAAAGGCCAAGACAATGATACAAGTAACAGAGTATTGATACTTCAGGAACAAAGGGGATGAAATGAGGAATTGATCTTGAGAAAATTGGTGATTTTGATCATCTGGGATTTGTGACTGTGAGTGGAAGGTAGCTAAAATCTTTCAGAAAGGAAGAAAATTGTCTCTGGAACGTTTAGTAGCATCTCAAACAGGTTCTTGCCTTTTCTCATAGGCTTGGATTTGGTAGCTGGTGCTTACATTAAAGTCTCCATTGTAACCTGTAGTCAAGCTCTTCCTGTGCTGTCTGCATTACAATCATGGAGAAACAGGATAGCCTTTTACTAGTGCTTCGAAGAGAATTTAAAAAAAAATAGAGCAAAGCTCAAGCAAAATGAATAAATGTTTGTAAAACATGCCATTCTCTGCCCTGGATTGACCTTTTCTTTTCAGGAGTAGTCTTCCCCTGGAAAGCGAAACCCTGGAAGTACAGTCTGAAAAGCAAGCGGAATTCTCGGCTGAAACAGGTACAGCTGAATGTTTGTGTGTGTAGTATCAAATTTATATTTGCTGATAAAGAAATAAAAATCTCCCTTTATTTCTTTATCAGCAAATATAAATTTGATACAAAATAGTTTGTCGTGAAAGCCCGTCGTACAACATACGACAGAAATTCAGAACTCCATTACAGTTGTAAATTGAGGGCTACGTGTATTAGATTTTGCTTGCTGTGATATGCAGGAGAGTATACTAGGAACTATTGCAGTCAAAAGATAGGAAATATATTTGATAAATCTTAACTAACATACACATTGACATATTGTTAGCACCCTCAAGTTTGGAGCTTCACATTTCCTCATAATGGGGAAACAGACATTTTCTTGGGAAATTTATTGGAAAAGGATGGGAAAATTCTTTTTGTGTTTCATTACATTGTAGTTATATTTCAAATCATAACATATAGGTAGTTCCGATGACCATTCATTTAACAAGTATTTGAAGTTATGGCAGTGGTGAAAAAAGTGATTTATGACCAGTCCTCATACTTACAACCAGGTCATGTGATTGTCATTTACAACCATCTTCCCAGGGGGCTTCCAACAAGCAAAGTCAATGAGGAAAACTGGATTTGCTTAACAATTAGATGATTTGCTTAACAACTGTGGCCAAAAAGGTTGTAAAATCAAAAAAGTTCACTTAATGATTATATTGCTTAGCAACAGGAGTTCTGGTCCCAATTGTCACAAGTCAAGGACTACATATATTTAGCTATTTTTTGCAAAGATACAAAGATGAGAAAGTGGTGAGCTATGAAACAAAACTGTTATTACAATTTTCATGGTATGTAACAGCACAGTAATAATAAGCATTGATTTTTAAAGCAGTCATGTGTTCAGAGAGCTATGCAGACATCCAAATTAATTAAAGAAACATACAGATTTCTTAAAGGTGCATCTATAAAAACTGAAAAGAGAAGTAACAATGTATTTTGGAAGAGAAACTTTCTCAAATTTTAGAATAATCCCCAAACAATGAAGTTGGCCTTACAGAGAGAGTGCATTCCCTTTTCAAGACCTTTTCCTACACTTTTTTCCAATTACATTAAATGCTATTGGCAGAAGTCAAATTGTTTTGTCTTGACTGGTTAATTGTACTTTTTTCAAAAAAAGCTTTTTGGTATGGGCATCAGTTTTGAAAGATTTTCAGTTTGGCTGCAGTCGTTAATTGCTGATTTCTGTTCATGAATTTCTTCAGCTAATTCTGAGTCAGGCAGTCCCGAGCGCAGGCTGGGCTGCCAAGGAACCCAGGAGCTGGACGGCTCGTCCCAGTGGCTGGCTGACCAGAATGAGGCCGGTTTGCAGCATGCACTGGAACAGGATACCAGCACTACAACTGCAACTGAAATTATTGGGGCGAGAGGCAAAGACCAAGAGCGAATTAAAATGCAGACCAGTCCTCCCCGACAACACCACATGCTGCACGCACAGGTAGAGTTGGAGGTGAGAAGCACCCATGTGCAAATCCCTCTGGATTAGCAAAGTCTATCTGGATTTTCAGTGATGGTTAAAATAATGTGAGACACATTGTAGGGAGCAGCTTTGTGGCAAACCAAAGGAAGTTCTTCTCTGGGACTTCACCTAGACTTATTTCTGGAGTTAACTATATTTTAATGATTGAGGGCACTCTGATAATCCTTGCTGTTGATTTCTCCTTCCTTCCATATTAAATTGTGTGCTTCAGACTACATCAGACAAAATGACGGGCAGCAATCCAGTGTCACCAGCCTCTTCAGGCTCACCTGCCTCAAGTAGGAGCATCTCACCATCACATCTCACCCACGACTCCTCTTTGGACAGTCACCTAAGTTTTGATGGTCCCAAGTTGCAGAACAGAGCCCTGGTATCATCTGGGATGTACATCTCCCCTGATCCTGCGAGCATGTGGGACAAGACACACGCAGAGATTGCTGAGCAGGCAAAGCATGTAAGCTCTTGTCTAAATCATTGGGCTATTTTAGCCACCTTTCTGTTGGGCATAAACACCTGAAATCTAAGATAGTAGGGTAGCCCTGAGCATGTGAATGAACTATCTGACTTGGATACTCTGTTATAGGAAGCAGAAATTGAGAATCGCATTGCAGAAATGAAAAAGGAAGGATTCTGGTCTTTGAAAAGGCTTTCAAAGGTGCCTGAGCCAATTCGGCCCAAAGTGCACTGGGATTATCTTTGTGAGGAAATGCAATGGCTCTCTGCTGACTTCGCTCAAGAACGTCGCTGGAAGAGGGGTGTTGCCAGGAAGGTGGGTTCTGGCATCTTTAAACTGTCCCTTCTCCAGACTTTTTCAGTTTGCATCCATCCATCCCTATCTTTATACTTTTTAGAAGCAAATACCATGTAATGGAATGCTTCTTAACTGTTTCATGGCTGCTGTGGGATTTCTGGCATTTGTATAACCTAGCAGCTAAGTGACGTAGTTGGTGCTACTTCAACCACCTAGTGCACAGTATGGCTATAAGATTTCCCTCCACAAAACCTCCAGCGAACTAATCTTTCCTAAAATATGGTCCAGGATAAGATGGAAAACATGGCCACGTGGTAGATTTTGGTCACTTGGGCCTGCCGTCTTTCTCCTCTGTGGCATACAGGTTGTGCGCATGGTGATCAGGCATCACGAGGAACAGAAGCAGAAAGAAGAACGAGCCAAACGCGAGGAGCAAGCCAAGTTGCGCCGCATTGCTTCTTCCATTGCCAAAGAGGTCAAGCAATTCTGGAGCAACGTTGAGAAGGTGTGTGAAACCCTTGTCCAGAGTCAGGAAAAGTGTGTGTACATCTTGATAGCCTAAATACATAGGCAAATACATGTCAGCCCATTTTCCGTGTCATATTAAATTTATTCTTATTTTATGTGTCTAATCAAAAGTGTTAAAAATATATGCATGAAATACCTGGTCCTTTATGCCATTGTGTTATTTTTGCCTATTACTATAGCTATATTCCTCCAAAAACTCAATGCAGTGCATGTAGGAATTTCTCCTCATTTTTATCCCCTGACCAACTCCATATGAGACAGGCTGAATTGGGGGACAGCTACTCAGTAAGTTCCCATTGTCCAATAGGTTTATAGTCTCAGTCCAAGTTCAAATCCAAACTGATGTAGCTTTTAAAATTTGCACTGGAGCTATTGTCCTAAGGAAATTGGATTCATTTTTATTTTTTAAAATCTGATTAACAGAATAACAGAATTGAAAGGGACCTTGGAGGTCTTCTAGTCCAACCCCCTGCTCAAGCAGGACCTTATAACATTCCAGACAAATGGCTATCTCTTATTAGCAAAATGTTTTGAACTGTGAGAAATCAAACCTGTTTTTGTATTCTCATGGTTGCAGAGGAAAGGATGGATGCAATTATGCCTAATAATATTCTGCTGAAGATGCAGTTTGATATTTCTTAACTCAAGCCATGAGGTTTCAAACCACGAGATGGGGAGCATATAAACTTAATAAATAAACTTCTTCAGGTTGTGCAATTCAAGCAGCAGTCACGTCTGGAGGAAAAACGGAAAAAAGCACTGGATCTGCAGCTGGATTTCATAGTGGGCCAGACAGAGAAATATTCCGACTTGCTAACCCAAAGCCTCAATGAGACTCTTCCAGTTCCCAGCAAGACCAGTGGCTCCCATGCTGGCTCTACTGCTTCTAGTCCACCTCCCCCTGCTCAGCTCATGGAAGATGGTCAGTTTCCTCAACTCTGTTCTTTGAGCTTGCCAATTCCTGACCCATTTAATACGGCTTCTATCTCAAATCACACCTTCCCACTTAAAGACATTTGCTTTGTTAGAAATGGTATTCGCTTCCCAGGGTTGGGATGTGGGATTTCAATGTCCATTCCCGACCCCCAAATCTAGCGTTGGTTTTGTGATTTGAAAGGCGTTGCAGCTGATCCTTTTTCTCTGGCAGACGGAGATTTCCAACCCCATGAAGAGTCAGATGATGAGGAGACAATTGAAGTTGAGGAACAACAGGAAGGGAATGATTCAGAAACACAGCTGCGGGAGATTGAGCTGCTAAAGCAGGAAAGTGAGCTGCCCTTAGAGGAGCTACTCCAGACATTGCCACCCCAAATCTTAGAAAATTCCTTCAGTGTATCTCCTTGTGCCTCCAGCTCTGACGATGATGAAGAAGAGGGTGAGAGTGAAGAGGAAGCTGAACATGTGGAAAGTCAGATCTCTGAGACATTAAAGGTATCCTTCAAGTCAAATATTGAAGCTGGGAAGGTAGGGCACTTTGTATTTATAAACTGGGATTAAAAGAATCCAACCTCTCAGTTTTTAAAATCATACTGCACCATGGCGCACAGTAGTTAGAATGCAGTATTGCCGGCTAATTCTGCTGACTGCCAGCAGTTCAATTCTTACCAGCTCAAGGTTGACTCAGCCTTCTACCTTCCGAGGTTGGTAAAATAAGGATCCAGATTGTTGGGGGCAATATACTGATTCTGTAAGCCCTTTAGAGAGGGTTGCAAAGCAGTAAGTAAGTGTTACTGCTATTTAACTGGTATCCACAGTTGATATTTGCCAAGAAACTTCCCTCAATTACATATGCAACTTAAAATAAAAGTTTTTTTAAAAAAAAATCAAGGGGATCTCTTTTTAAATTTAAATATTCTGTCCTACTGTCATATGCCTATGTGAAACGGAGAGCTGCTGTTGCTGTCTGTCTCTTGAAGCCTTTCCCCCCCCCCCCCCCCCCCCCCCCCGCCCTCTCTACTCAGCAGGAGAAACCCAAACCTGCCACTCAGAGGAATAAGAAACCTGATGAAGAAGATGAGGAGTTTACAGCCAATGAAGAAGAAGGTAAGCATGCTATTTGAGGTCATGGGTTTGACTGAATGTAATGAGAATTGGGATGAGGTTAGGGTTGTAATCCAGTAACATAGGTAATCCTTTCTCTCCCAGCCGAAGATGAAGAGGAAACGATAGATGCTGAAGAAAAGCTGGAAGGAAATGTGGATCACAGCAAAGAACTGGATGACCTGGCCAAGGAAGGTTCGAACTGAGATTGTAGCTTGAGATAGCAAATGAGGATTAGGAGTTGGATTCCACGATCCTTCAGAACAATAATTATTGAATTGTATTTCTGAATGTTTGCTGGACCTATGAATCATAATTCCTAGATTTGTTGAAGCAACGAGGGCCAGATTACACACAAATATAGTACTGTGTACAGTGGTGGGATTCAGCCAGTTCGCACCACTTCGGGAGAACCGATTGTTAACTTTCTGAGCAGTTTGGCAAACTGGTTGTCGGAAGAAATCATTAGAGCAGAGAACCGGTTGTTAAATTACTTGAATCCCACCACTGACTGTATGTCTTGGAGTACTACTCTTTCCGCAAAAAAAGAGTTGTCACAAACCTTTTTTTTATCTTTTTTTTGGGGGCCCCCCCCCCCCCCCCCCCGCTTTAATCTCTTCGGAAGCAAGGGGAAAATGACTTCATTGACTAAAGTTTAGAAATTGGCTAACTTTAACACATGGTGGAGTATCAAAAGGGACAGGAAGCATCTGAATCTACTGAGTTAGAGTTTGGTAGGGTTAAGACATAGCCTCTAGTTGCAGTTGATAAGTCATTTCAGAGCTTTCCCACTTCAGAAAGGGAAGATGACTTCAACATAAGTAAAGCAGCAGACGAGGTCGAAGAAATCAAACTCTTTTAGATTCCATTGGCCCTAACACAAGTTTTCTTTCGGACTTCATAGGTGAACTGCCCATGGAAGAGTTGCTGCAGAAATACACTGGTGCTTATACCTCAGACTTTGACGTGGAAGCCTCAGACACTTCATCGGAGGCATTGGAGCCTACTACTTCAGAGTACGAGGAGGAATCAGAGGAGGAGAACAGCACTAGTCACTCAGGTATGGAAGGAAGAGGGAGCGGCCCCTATAAATACATGGCTATAGTTATTCCTGTATTTTGGGGTTGAACCATTGAAAATGTGGATTGCACCTTACTATTTTATTTATTTTATTTATTATCAAATTTATATACCGCCCTTCTCCCGAAGGACTCAGGGTGGTGTACAGCCAAAGTAAAAAACATAATCAATGCTGCTTAAAACTGTTGAAAGTTGAAGTTCCACGTTTTTGGGGGGAGGGAATATTTTGCCATCCTGCTGTAAATGAATGTTTTTGCATGATATCAAAGCTGAATGGATTTTTGAACTGTTTGGACATTTCCATCTAGCTCTCCAAATTGATACCTTGCAAAACTGCTTGTCTAAAAACAATGTGTTGGATTTGTCTTAATGAGAACCGGGGACAGCAATGAGTGATTTATTACGTAGAAAAGCAATATATAATTCTAAGCCATTGTAAATAATTGAATGAAAGCAGCCAGTTGCTTGGCCCGGGGTCTAAAGCACGTTTGGTCCAATAGTTAACAGGATTATGCAGTACAACTTTGTCCTGATGTTACTGATTTTGCCTCCAGATTCCACAGAAGAGGATGAAGAAAGTGAGCAAGAGGAAAGTGAAGTAGAGGATGCCATTGAGGAGGAAAGGAGAGAAGCTTCAGTAACCCAGGAGGAAGATTTTGGCGTTGAGTACCTGTTGAAGCAGGATGATGATAAGGTTGGCGAGGGAGATAATGATTCAGCTCCAGCCCCAGGGCCAAAAAAAGAGATCACAGACATCGCAGCAGCAGCCGAGAGCTTGCAGCCAAAAGGCTATACCTTGGCAACCACGCAGGTGAGTCATTTCTGGGGTCAGCCAATTAGGGAGGGAGCGAAATAAAGCAGACAAATTATATTACCATTCTCCCTTGCAGGTTAAGACACCAATCCCCTATTTGTTGCGTGGAACGCTGCGAGAATACCAGCACATTGGCCTCGATTGGCTGGTTACCATGTATGAGAAGAAGCTCAACGGTATCCTGGCTGATGAGATGGGTCTTGGTAAAACCATCCAGACAATTTCCTTGCTGGCGCATCTGGCCTGTGAAAAAGGTAGGCAAATAGCTCAGAGAGAGCCCTGATTATTTGGGCAGGAAGGAGATCAGGGAGTGGAGATGGATTCCACATAAGAAAAAAGCCACAACTATTGTTATGCTAAGTCATATTGGATACTAATGTCTACTGGCACCCTCGGTAGAATAGCTAAACTAGTTGCTCTGTACCTGCAATTGATCCTTTCCAGTGGCTCATAATATATTAAATAACACCATTACAAGGACAGATATGTAGAATCTAGTGGGACAATCCCTGTAGGTCAAAGAATCCCAGTATCACTTGGTGGTAGTACTTGGTGAAATATAAGCAAACTACTGCAAAGCACTAAAGGAAATCAGACTACAGCTCCCTCAGCTACTATAACAAAATACTATGGTTGATGGTACCAAAAACTGCCAAGAGATACGAGTTCCAAGTAACACCCACAACGAAAGAAAACTCTGAGGCTTGAGTTTCCTCAAAGTTACATTTTATTAGAGATGTCATATTGGCACATCTGGGAAAACCTGAATCTGAGAGTTTCCAGGATTTCCCCACCCTGCCCAACACCCACAAAGTTCAAGTCCCTGCCCAACACCCACAAGTCCATCACATGGCTCAATCAAGCATCGTACTCACTGGAGATGCCTCTCAGTTCCAGCCTTCCAGGTGCAGAGCTAGTCGGCCTTGACATCTTGAGAAAGGAATGTTGTTATGACTATATATCACCCTGGCTCCATACAATCCCCCCTCTTAGTTTCCCACAGTAGTAAACGTGGCAGATCTGAAGACCTAATACTTTAAGCTTCCAGGCCTGACATACCGGATACTAACAGTTGCCCATAGCCCCCCTCTCCATCTTTCTCAGTATACATCCATCCATCCATCAGGGTGATCAGAGTGAGTGGTTCTCCATGCCAAATCCAAATTGAAAAGGTCAAGACATTTAATTTAATCCAATAACTCTTGGAGCAACCAGGCATGTGTAATCGGGAGGCCTGCAGGTCTCAGTAGTCCAGTGAGCTCTTAAGATGGCTCTTGCTGATCTCTTGAGTGTGGTATTCTTTTTAAAAATGACTTGTTTTGATATATTTATGGTATACAGATAGTCCCCAACTTTACAACAGTTCGTTTAATGACTGTTCAAAGTTACAATGGCACTGAAAAAGTGACTTACGACCATTTCTCACATGTCCGCTACAGCATCATGTTCCCATGATCAAAATTCAGACACTTGGCAACTGACTCTTATTTATGATGGTTGCAGTGTCCCAGGATCATTTAATAACCTTTTGTGACCTGACAACAAAGTCAATTGGGAAGCCAGATTCACTTAACAGCTGTGTTACTAAATTTACAACTGCTGTGATTCTAACTTCACAACTGGCAAAATGCAATTATCTCACTGAGCAACAGAAATTTTGAGCTCAATAATGGTGTTAAGTCGAGGACTCTGTGTATGTGTTTTGTATACCACCTAGGATCATTTCTTGTGAGATGAATGGCCATATAACTTTAATTAATAAATTGTTCAATTGATCTAGCCCAAATGTGTTTTCTTAGGTAGGTCTTCCTCACTGGCTCTTTTTTAGTGGATGGGGAATTCCCTCTGTAAAAAAGGACTAATGACCCCAGTGATAACTTAGCATGCCAGAGTCTTTAGTGGTCCTTAAAAATCAGGGTGGGAAATGAGCCTGTGTTGAAATAGTTCCCAAAACCTTACTGGCTTTTTTAGGAGACAATATATGGGATGAATTTCAAAGATCATTGCTAGGTAGTGTTATGGTCATCCCATGTATTATATAGTATGCTTTGAATTGATTCAGAGCACAGCAGGAGTCAAAGTGACCTTAAAATGCCATAAAATTGCTCATAAGGTTCTGAAATGGAACCTGGCACTGATCAGCTGCAGGATTATTCATCCGGCAGCCTGGAAGAGCCCACTTGGACAACCCTTGATAAATACAGCTGGGAAGAAGATTTGATCCCCCTCCCCTCAATATGATCTGCTTGTGATGGTATTGCCATCTTTGTGTAGAACTGAATGTATCCAGGGGACATGTATGGCTGGGGAATAAGGTGAAGAAGTGACCTTTGTCTTTAGAGATCTAAACATTGCTGGGTGTAATATTTGTTTGCTCCTGCAGGCAGTTGGGGTCCTCACTTGATCATCGTTCCTACCAGTGTGATGCTCAACTGGGAGATGGAAATCAAGCGCTGGTGCCCCAGTTTCAAGATTTTAACATATTACGGGGCACAGAAGGAGCGTAAACTGAAGCGACAGGTGAGAGTTTTCAAGCACTTGCAGCTGGTTTTGGACTTTCCTATTCTTCAGTTATGCATAAGAAGATTACCTTTTGCTTTGTCATCTTGTGTGCCTTGTATCTGGTATTCGTAGGTATGCTAAATGTAAGGTAAATAGGAAATGTTCACATTAAAGTTGTTTCCTAGTAGTTAAAGCTAAAAAAAATTACTTGCAAAGGATTGGACATTGACTTCTGTGCCATCTCAGAACTGTGTATCACAGTTCTAGAAACAGCAAGCAGGCTTGACCTTGTGGGTAAGGCATGCAGAGAGAGTTGAATTACGATGGTAGATTTAGGAACACAGATCCTGCTTTATAGATCATTGACTTGAGAAGCAATTTTGCTTAAATGTTTCTACTAGAAAAAGGGTAGCAGGCAGTTAATAAGGGATCTCTCTTACTAGCCCTGTTGTAATTCCTTCACTGTCTCCATTTAGGGTTGGACCAAGCCCAATGCCTTCCATATCTGCATCACCTCCTACAAGTTGGTGTTGCAGGATCACCAGGCCTTTCGACGCAAGAATTGGAAATACCTGATCTTGGATGAAGCTCAGAACATCAAGAACTTCAAATCCCAACGCTGGCAGTCTTTGCTCAACTTCAACAGGTGAAGAGAGATACAGTGTTTTCCTCAGCATTAAATAGAAACACCTTTTGTTTCAGAAGTTTTCAAGTTTGTGTCTTGCTTGTGTTCTAGCCAGAGGCGGCTACTGCTGACTGGGACGCCTCTCCAGAACAGCTTAATGGAGTTGTGGTCTCTCATGCACTTTCTGATGCCACACGTTTTCCAGTCACACCGTGAGTTCAAGGAGTGGTTTTCCAACCCCCTGACGGGCATGATCGAAGGCAGCCAGGAGTACAATGAGAATTTAGTCAAAAGACTGCACAAGGTGAGCATCGTGGAAGGAGAGGAGGGCCCTTTGCAAGGGACAGTTGAAAGTGGACAGAGATTGACTTAACCGGATAGGAAAAGATCCAGAACAGACATGTTCTTTGTCATCGTCCCAACAGGTGCTGCGTCCCTTCCTCTTGCGAAGGGTAAAAGTGGATGTAGAGAAGCAAATGCCAAAGAAATATGAGCATGTTATCAAGTGCCGTCTTTCCAAGCGCCAGCGTTATCTTTATGATGACTTCATGGCCCAGGCTACGTAAGTATAGAAAGCTAGTTGAGAAATGATAGAGAAAATACTTTTTTATACTGGCTTCTTGGATTTTGTGAGGAAGTGTGGTCCTCACAAAGCAATAGCTGGTCGTTGAAGGACTATAGACCATGATGGTTTCTCTAGCTTTTGTTTTTCCAGTTCCAAGCCACAGCAGTGTTTATGACTTTTGAAATTGATTATTTTGTTCCTTGGGCTCTGCGGGTATAGCTGATTATATGCGGCTGTCACCCTTTCAGCACCAAGGAGACGTTGGCCACAGGGCACTTCATGAGTGTCATCAACATCCTGATGCAACTCCGGAAGGTCTGCAATCACCCCAATCTTTTCGACCCACGGCCGATCCATTCACCATTTATCACGGAGGGCATCTGCTTCAACACCGCCTCCCTTGTATTGCATACACTTGATTATGACCCTTTCAAGGCAGGTGTCTCCTCTTCTGATCTTTTGGAAGGGCGGAATTGCTCCACTTGGGGGTGGGGTGGGGAATCTGGGTGGACAGGTGACAGCTGCTTTTGAGACAAGGAGGGATGCAAAACTAGAATAAAGCATCCTGATTTTGTTGCATATGAATCTTAACCTCTTACAGAATGTGGACTTGGGCATTTTTGATCTGATCAACTTGGAGGGTTCTGTGTCCCGTTATGAAACAGACACATTCCTGCCCAAATGGAAGGTGACAAGGAAAATGATTGAAGAGATTGCTGAGTCCCCAGACCCTCCTCCCAGACCCAAGCCAGTCAAAATGAAAGTGAACAGGTACTTGTAATTCTCTCTTCTCAAGAGGCTTCATTGCATCAGAGCCAGACTTTTCCCTTCAGACATAAACTTGCCAGCTCTGAAGGATTTGGGTTTTCTGATCTAAAGGAAATGTTAATATTGGGATTATTCTAATGGGAATTATGCAGCAGAATATGTGCTATTAGTTAAGGTGCTGTGCATTCATTAGCCTGACTTTGAATTCTGAGTATTACCTTGGCTAGAATAAATGTTGTGCAATAATCTTGGCTGAGAACTGTCTGGTGGGGACTATTACATCTCTCCATCTCTGGAACTGTCTCCATCAGACAGTTCTTAGCCAAGATTTTTTTTTTTAATTGCATAGCAGAAGCAAGGGAATATCCATGGTTCTGTGTCATCTCTTTCAGGATGTTGCAGCCAATGCCCAAGCCAGAAAACAGAACAGTAGTTCTGGTGAACAGCCCTCGACCTACAACCCCTCTACAGAGACCGATAACTCCTGTGCTTCCGGAACCACTGACACCTGCTCTAGCTTCTGTACCACACACAGGCCCAGTATTGCCAGGGCCTTTGCAGCCCACCACGCTCCCTGCCTCAGTGTCTCTCCCTGTGCCTATCCCAATGCCTCCTTCACCTGTGACCATGTCAGTACCAGTGCCTCCTCCTGCCAGACCACAGACCCCAACTCTAGTGCCTACTTTGAGCCAGAACAACCCAGCTGCTGCTCTGCTGCAGAGCCAGGCCTCTGTTCCTCAGGGTGAGGTTTGGAATTTTTGGGGTAATGAGGAATAGGGATGGGGTGGGAGGTTGAGCTCTGCTGCTTCTTACCTTCACATTTACTTTTAAAGTTGTTTGCATGAAATGTATCTTCACCTCTTGAGCTTATTTTAAAGTAGAAATAATAGATTTCTTGTTTGACTTTTAAACAGCAAGTAGTCCTTTTGGTTGCAAAACTATTTTGATCGCTTAAGGTAGTATCTTAATATTTTAAAAGGATAGAACTGCTACAGGTCTCTAATCTTGTTCTCTTTTTCCCCCCCACAGTGCTGCCCATGGCAATGACTGCAGCTCAGCTGGTCCCAAATACTCCCCGGCCTCTCCTCCCACCACCTCCTGTTTCTTCTACAATCACCACTGCCTCCTCCCTTAAGGCTGCACCAGCCCCGGTTCCAATGGGACATCAGCCCCCAGTTAGCAGCTTGAGTGCCACCCCAGTGCGACAGCAGCCACCCATTAATACATTGAGTATCGCTTCTGTCCAACAGCAGCCCCCCATCAGCACCCTGGGCATTAGTCCTATGGCTCAGCAACCACCCACCAACACCCAATCCATTAATACAGTTAGCATATCCCCCATTAACACTCTGGGGATGTCTCCTGTAGGGGGGCAGCAGCCTCCAGCAACTAATACTTTGGGCCCAGGAACTGCAGGAGCTACCGCTCAACAATCCACCAGCTCCATTGGGGGCATGGTGAAGCCCATGAACATCCATTCTACTGTACCTACCTTGCCTGGATACAACTTTGCAGCAGCAGCCGGAGGTGTGCAGCAAAGGCTTTTGTTGTCCCCGGATATGCAGGCACGATTGCCTTGTAAGTATTAAGGAACCAGCAAAACACAGGCAGCCACCATACCATGATGGTTTGAAAATCTAACCCTCATTTTTTCCCCCACTGCAGCAGGTGAAGTAGTCAGCATTGGGCAGCTTGCCTCGTTGGCTAATCGGCCTCTTCAAGGTGCCCCAGGCAGTAAACCTCTCACATTCCAGATCCAAGGCAACAAGCTTACCTTGACGGGTACCCAGGTTCGCCAGGTCACTATGCCTCAGCCAGCCCGACAGCTGCCAAGTAGGTAAACCCCAGTCCTTAGCAACGCCAATGACTCCCTTGTCCTCTGTCTTGAATAAGACAGATTTGGGTAACTTTTGTTTATGGTGGAGCAGAGCAGGATAGAGTACAGTAATAGGGAATGGGAATAGAATTCTTTATTGGCCAAGTTTTATTGAACACAGAAGGAATTTGTCTCAGGTGCAGAAGTTCTCAGTGTACATACAAGCAATAAGTGATTAACCATAATGATAATCATAAAATACAGTCATCATAAATTATAAGATACAACACTCAGTGATAGTCATAGAATACTAAACATGCAATCAACATAACTCATGGGATACTGAATAAAAACAATCAACATAAACCATAGGATACAAACAACAAAATTATAAGCTAGGTCAGGGGTCAGCAACCTGCGGCTCTGGAGTCATATGTGGCTCTTTCACCCCTCTGCTGTGGCTCCTTGTCCCTCAAAATATGCATCGTAACTGCCAATGTGTGATACCCGCCAACACACGATTTATTAAGTTTTTCAACCCCCGGTAGGCCAACCATAGATAAATCCAAGAAAAGAAAAGTTTTAGAAGAAAACAGAATGTTTAGTTCAACTACATATTCTAGTTTTGTGGCCGCTCAAGAAATAGTCAGGCATAGGAAGGGTTTTGTGGCTCCCGGTGTTTTCTTTTCTGTGGGAAACAGGTCCAAATGGCTCTTCGAGTGTTTAAGGTTGCAGACCCCTGAGCTAGGGAAATGAGTAATAGGAAAGATGAGAAGGATAATAGTAATACTATCCTCATCTTATTAAGCTAAATATTATTAACATGAGAAGGATAGTAATACTATCCTCTTTCCAATATTTTCTTATTAAGCTAAACATAATTTTTTATTAGACAGATCCAGCAACCTGAGCCCTAATACAAAATAGTGGCTTGGGAACCAGGTACTTCTGAGCATTGAGTTCAGGGATTTGTTTGTGCTTTAATACATCTGCCATACATATCAGAATTTTTGCTAGGGGGAGGAGGGTTATTTGTTGTCCCTTGGAAACGGAAGGCTTATTTTGTTCAAAATTAGGAAGAAGATATTGGGTCTTCATGTACTTCCTAGTCATTCTCGGCTTAGGATCTTTTCAGCGTTAGAAACAGTCCTGCATAATGTGTGTCTTATACATCCCATGAGCAGCATTAAACTTTGCACTTGCCATTTAAAATGAATTGCTCTACATAGGAATACAGGTAGTCCTTGACTTACAAAAGTTCATTTAGTGACCAAAGTTAAAACAGCACTGAAAATAGTACTTATGACTGTTTTTCATGCTTATTACTGTTGCAATATCATGATCATGTGATTTACATTTGGAAGCTTGACAATTGGTTCATATTTATGACCGTTGCAGTGTCCCGGCATCATGCAATCCCCTTTTGCAACCTTCTGACAAGCGAAATCAATGGGGAAGCCAGGTTAATTTAACAATCGTGTTACCAAATTAACAACTGTGGTGGTTCACTTAACAAATGTGGCAAGAAAAGTCGTAAAATGAGGCAAAACTCATTTAACAAATTTCTCATTTAGCAATATAAATTTTGGGCTCAATTGTGGTCGTAGGTTGAGGACTACCTGTACTTTCTTCCTATTATTTAACGTCATTTGTGGAAGAGAATGGAATCATCTGAATTAATAGATCCACAGACAAGATAAAATGCTTACAAGATGAAATACCTCCTGTTAAGGGAAAATAATAGCGGCAGGCAGTCGTGAAGAAAATGTTGAAAGGGAAATGAAGGGGTAGATAGCTTTTTTTATTGGAGCAGTCCCTCTTAGCTCCTGGTGTCTCTTTGTGAGTCATCCGGTGACCAGAGGGATAGAACAAAACTAGAGCCTTGACTCAAGAGGGCTCGCTCTCTCGAGGAGGGCTTACAGATTTATTTAAAACATTACTACTACTACGCATTGCAGATAGAAAAGACAACAAAACGGGCAAGAATTCTCCTTCCCTTCTTTCTCTCCAGGGAATGTGGTTCACTTGGTGTCCGCTGGGGGGCAGCACCACATAATCAGCCAGCCAGCTCAAGTGGCTTTGATCCAGGCTATGGCCCAGCAGGCAGGGCAGAACCCAGTTGGTATGCAGACTGTTCCGGGCCAGCAGCCTCCCACCATCCTGCCGGTTCCAGCTACCAGCACAACTGTTCCACCTGTTGCTTCCACAGCAACAATCAGCGTCCCTATTGCTGTTACTCAAGGTCAGTACAGCTCTGCATCCTAGAGTTTTCTTTCTGGCTTGTGAGGGAAAAGTCATTTAGGAAATGGATTTGGGGACTTTAAGCCTCTTTCTGCAACTGGTTGTCCTCCACCAGCTTTCCTTTCCTGTGACTGTGTTTGAGGCATGCTTTGTCTTGAATTACATCACCAGTTGTCTTCTTTGTCATTTGGCAGCCTTTTTCTTTCTATATCTTCTTTATGTTCCAGTTTTCTCCCTATTCCAATGAATAAAATAGTCCTCGACTTGCGACCACAATTGAGCTTATAATTTATGTTACTAAGTGAGAAACATATTGAGTTTTGCCCCATTTCACGACTTTTCTTGTCATGTTTGTTAAGTGAATCCCTACAGTTGTTAAGTTAGTAACATAGTGGTTAAGTGAATCAAGGCTTCCCCATTGACTTTGCTTGTCAGAAGGTCGTAAAAGGGGATCACATGACCCTGGGACACTGCACACGTTGTAAATGTGAATCAGTTGCCAAGCATCTGAATTTTGATCATGTGACCATGGGGATGCTGCAATGGTCGTCAGTCACTTCTTTTCAGTGTCGTAACTTTGAACGGTCACTAAACGAACTGTTGTAAATCAAGGACTACCTGTAGTAAACAGTAATAACCAGAAATAATTGTGTTTCACAATCGAGCCACAATCCACCCTCTCTCCTCTGCCTTTGTTTCTTACAGTGCCATCCTCAGCAGTGAATAGTTCTGGTGTAGTGAAGATTGTCGTACGACAGGCTCCTCGAGATGGCTTGGTGTCCCCATCACCTGGGCCACAGCATCCACCCATGCGTCCTGTGACACCAACAACTGCCAGTACTTTACCTGGCCTTCCAACAGCCCTCTTGGCCCAGCGAGCCCCACTTCCTATGAACCCAGCCTCATCAGTTAGGCTGCCTAACCAGCCACTGGGCCCAGTGAGGCCACCTGCACCAGCTCCCCTCCAGACCCTGGTGAGACCCATGCTGCGAATGATACAAACCTCAAACCCCAACCTGGAACAACAACTGGGTAAGCATGTCTTAAAATCACCAGGTGGGATTGCAGGTATCTAAGAAAATTTGGGAGTTGGATCCTGGTGCCAGCTTCAAATTGATTTTTTTTAAAAATGATGTTATATCAAAAATAAAAATTAAGGAACATATTTATCTGCTAAAATATTCTTCTAATTTTATGCAGGTAAATGGCTGATAGTAGCTCATGTAATTAAAAAAAATAACCAGATAATATAGCCAAAACATACACTTTTATCAGAAATAATGAAAGAGGGCATCCTTGATGAGTTGCATAACATAATACTACCCTCTGAAAATACCCCAAATTAATTAATTTAAACTCTTAACTCTAAACATCAGTGTAGGCTATAAGCTGTAGGGAATCTAGAATAAATCTGTGCATGTTTCAGAAACTTCCAGGAAATCTTATCAAAAGCATTCTCAGCATCCAGAATAATAATTGCTAAATTCTGTTGTGAATTGACCAAAAATATATTCTCCAAATGCTGACATAGATTCAGCCCTCTAGCCCTGTTTAGAGCCCTCATACCCCTCTAAACAGTGGTAAATGATACCACTGATAGTTCAAACATAGCAAAAACATGCATTCTTTACAACATTTTGCAGTTGATGGAGAACTGGTAACTTTCCAGCTGTGATACAACATGTTTTGAAGTCATTAAAGGTGTGTGGTATTCATTTTTGTTCTCATCCTTTTAAAATGTATTTCCAAAGAAAACAAGCACCTACAGAAGCCAACGAATCTTCTAAACAAAATTTAACATGTACAGTAACTCCAGTCCAAAGAGGGAGCCAAGTGACACGTTGCCATACTCTAGAAAACATGAAAGAGATTGTAGATTTATTGGCAATCCTCATGATTGCTCTTCTGTTTCCTTCACAGTTCCTCCTTCCCCGCCTCCCACAGTTGCTTCATTTGCTATCAGCCCAGCTGCCACTGTTACTGTTTCTGCCAACACTTCTCCTACAATGGTGTCCCAAATTGCCTCAAGCCCCATGCCCAAGGAGGAACCGGAGATGTTAACTCTGCGTTCTACTACACCTACACCACCACCACCCCTTTCCATCCTGGCCCCAAGGCCGAGACGGCAACCTCCTCCCCCACCCCGCTCCCCTTTCTTTCTGGTGAGTTCCTTGGCACAGGGGCATGGTTTTTGGTGGCGGGGAGGGGTAGGGCTGGAACAGGATAGTTGACAGGTTGCGGCAGGGAGGTGGTAAGTTGAATACAATTCTATCTGCTTGCTCTGGCCTCCAGGAAGTACTTGAGGAGAAGAGGAAGAAGCAGAAGGAGGAGCGCCTTGACCGGCTTTTCCGTCTCAATGAACAGCATTGCAACCTTGCACCAATCTACGGTACCGAAGTGCTCCGCTTTTGCACCCTCTTTCCCCCTGCTCCGCCACCTGTGCAGGAAAAGGAAGAGGAGGTGGTTGTGGAGGCGAGTGAAGAACGAGCCATGGTAACCCAGGAAGTGGAACCGAAGGGCTCGAGAGGATCTGGATACACCCATTGCTACGCAGCACAAGTCCAAAGGGGCGCTCAGCATCTTGAGGCCTATTGGCAGCGGTCAGAAAATTTGGCCCAAGCAGTCCTGACACCCCAGCAACGGATTGAGGAGCTGATGGACATTATAGAGAGGTAACATTTTCCTGCAGACATTTGGCTGTTTTGAAATGATGGTCCTAAAGGGGAGAAGCATGAAGAAATCCTTGAGTTTTTTCAAAGTATTCCTGTGAGTTCCAGGTTTAGTCAAATCTTCCTCTCTATTTTCTTGAAGTATTTATGTGTCTATTAGAGTTTTAACCCACATTGAGTACTTTATAAGTAATTCAAGGTGGCATACCTAGAGTCTCCTTCCTCTTCCTATTTTCCCTACAACAGCAACTCTGTGAAGTGAGTTGGGCTGAGAGAGAGGAAGTGGCTCAAGGTCACCCAGCCAGTTTTCATGCCTAAAGTGGGAGTAGAACTCATGGTCTCCTGCTTTCTAGGCCAGCACTTTAACCACTACACCGAACTGGCTATTGAATATGTGTTCTTACGTCTCCTTTACTGTCTGTTCATCTTTGCAGGTTCATTTTCGTTATGCCTCCTGTGGAGGCTCCGGCTATCACCATGCACACCTCTCATCCTCCCCCAACACTCCTGCTCCAGCAGTCGGTCTTCAAGGAGACCTTGCGGCAAGAGCTCTCGCCCCATGCAAGTTGCCTGCATCGTATCATTTGCAACATGAGGACTCAGTTCCCAGACCTTCGCCTCATCCAGTACGACTGTGGTAGGTGATGAAGAGTTTAGGGTCCATTTGATGCCAGTCAGAAAATAAGGGCCATGCGTCGGTCTGCTTGTAAGGTCAAGCAAATTATTTCTGGGTTGGCAGATATATAAATTACCCATTGTCCAATTACTCTCTTTTTTTGTTTGTCTTCAGGGAAATTGCAGACTTTGGATGTTCTACTACGGCAGCTCAAGGCTGGAGCCCACCGGGTCCTGATTTTCACCCAGATGACCCGCATGTTGGATGTGTTGGAACAATTCCTCAATTATCACGGGCACATCTATCTGCGATTGGATGGTAGCACTCGGGTAGAGCAGCGGCAGGTAAGTGATAGCAGCTTGTGCCCTTTTTTTTTTTTTTTTTTTATTGAAAAAGTTTTTCAAATACAGATTTTTCCCCCTTTTTTCTCCCCCCCTCCTCCCTAACCCCCCCTCACCACCCGTCCCCCTGTGACTTCTTCAAAGTAAGATCCAAATTCATAACAGATTATATAATATTTTACCATCCCCTTACTCCATCCCCCAAATACTGACCCTTTCTTTCTAATAATATTATTACATCCCCCTTTTAGCATACATTTCAAAATAACATTCTACTATAACATTGTATAATAACTTCTGATTTAGCATAGTAATATTATTATGACTCCCAATTTAGCAATAATCTGCCCTTTTTCTCCTCCTCCATACATATATCTGTATATTAATATAACATTTCAAAACAACCTTCCACTTTAAGACTATATAATAAATCCTAATTTAACATTTAATCTTTTGTGTATATTAATATAACATTTCAAAGCAGCCTTCCCCTATAAAACTATATAATAAATCCTAATTTAACATTTATTCAACTCTATCCATTTCCTCCACTCCAATATATCTCTTAAACATCCCTTTTCTTAAACTAAACAATCAATAAACTAGTCTGTCTCCACCCACTTTCCTACAAAATTACCATACATAACAATTCTTAATATCTTTATTCTTCTGCCCACCCTGCTAAAAAACATATTCCCTTATATAGATAAAATCAATGACTTTAAACTTATAGTCCATATAATGTCTTCTTTGATGTCTTTCCACTGGATTGTTAACTCCATCACCCATATTAGGGTAACATAACATCCTGATTGCAACAGAATGTTCAAAATCCTCAGTTATCATCTGCCCCCATCAGTAATGAATATCTTCATGTATATAAAAAAAGAAAACAACCACCCGAGTGACATTGTAATTGTATTCCATATAATATCTGTAGTAGTGGCTTTCTTCAGGATTATTAATTCCCACTGTCATAATGGGGTAACAGCCAGATCTTCTGCATGCCCCAGCATAGCTCTCTTGCCATATAGCTCAGCATAAACATAATACATTTATCAAAAAAATCCAAAATAGATAATTCCAATCCAACAATTTAAGGCCCTTTTCACATCCCAAAATTACGGCGTTGCAGAGGTCTATCACTCTCCTCAGGATAATATTAACCAATACTTCGCCTCAACTATCTTTTCATGTATTCAGTCATCTTTTAAGTAACTGGCTTCACTGTTGCCTAATTTAGAAATTTTTGTTTTTGTGAGATCTGTTTCTTTTTTTCTTGAATTTTTGTGGGTTTGATCTCCATCCTAATTTTCTTTCTACGAGTTGTATATCAACTGATCGGTTTTCGTTCTGATTTATGACTTGATCTTGTTGGTTTTGCTTTTGTGGCTCATATTTCTTTTCTAGAAGTTGTGTATCAACTAATTGATTTCCATGCTTGTCTGTGACTTGATGAGTCATCACGTTAGAATCCGATGCCATGTCTCTCTTATTTATAGATAATCCAACTGAGGCATCTAAAGAATCCAAAGGCGATTCATCTACAGAAGCCTCTGTAGCTCGATATTTTTCCTTTATTTCCAACTCCTTCTGCTTATCTTGTGTTGTGCATAAAAATGTTGAGCTCATTTTCAAAAAAAATTGGTGAAATTCTTCCGCTTTTTCAACAGTATTTAATTGGTATCTTTCTCCTTGATATCTCAATATTATACCAACTGGAACATCCCATCTAAATAAAATATTTTGTTTTTTAAGCTCAGTCACCAGAAATCCAAATTTCTTTCTTTCCAATAACATCTTAGGCGGTAATTCTTTATATATCCAAATCTTTCTTACAAACAATTGCAAAGTAGAATTAAAAGATTTTTGCACAATATTATTTCTTATTTCTTTATCTGTAAAATAAATCACCACATCTCTAGGCAGTTGCCTTTGCTTTGCAATCCAGGAATTTATTCTATAGATTCTGTCAATCCTACAAAATACTTCCTCAGGATGAACCTTTAAAATCCCAGCCAAAATTTCAGAAGATATTTTCCTTAAGTCATCTCTGTTATTTTCCTGTAATCCTCTCAGTCTAATCGCATATTCTGTGAGATTATGTTGCATCATTAAAACTTCTTTTTCAATCCGTTGTTTTATATTTTCAGCATTACAAGTCTCATGATCAGCTTCCATTTTAGGTTTTTCTTCTAAGCTATTGTCTTGAATGTTTATCAAATCATTTTCAATTCTTTGTATTTTATTGTCCAAATTATCCTCAATTTCCTCCATTTTAGACTCTAATAAATTAATATTTGTATCCAACTTCATAGCAATTTCTGAAAAACCATTAGTCACTTTTGCAATCTTTCGTTGCAAAGTATCAAACTTTAATTGCACCAATTCTTTAATTTCCTGTTTAAATTTTTCAAAGTTCTGGTTCATAATCTCATCCCTTCTTAACAATCTCCTCCAAGAGAAATTCAATTATATTAAAATCAGTTTTCTGAGTCTGTAGGTTTAGAACTTGTTCATATAGTTTGTAGATGGGGGAATCCCCCCTCACTGCTTGTTTGTCTGGCTTTGTTAGTCTAAACGCCATATTTCCACACAGACAAACTCTTTTAGAAAAGAAAAGAAAAACAAAGAAAAAAAAAAGCTTCTTTCCAAACAAGATCAATATCAAATCTCCAGGAAAGAGAAAACACAAAAGTGGAGCTTTTTCTTCAATTGTAGCCAGGAGTATTTATTCCGCTACTTTGTAGCTTAATAAGAAACGGAAGGACTTTCCCTTTTCAGCTTTCCCTGCTCAAGCCTCGGCAGTCGCCATTTTAAAAATTCTTTTTTGCTTTCTTCAATATCTTTTACAAAGTAAATAAAAATACTTGCGATTTAGGGTCACAGGTCCAGATCTCATCCTCTTTACTTAGTCTGTTAATTTTCTTTAAAAGGCTTGTTCTCGTCGCCTGGCTCTGCAAAAAAGCAGAGGTCTCCCAAAGCCCGGAGCAGCGGCGAGGGAAATAGGGAGCCTCATCTGCTTCACTCCCAAGAGTAAAAAAAAACCTCTGTGGGCTTCGCGGAGAGCTCTACCTGCCCTCACCTGCTCTATCTCATATTTCCTTATGGAAATGGAGTTTTTCGAGCCGCCTTTCCGTTGTAAAGGCGGCTCTTTACAGGCGATGGGGCTGGCGGTCCCGAGGGACCGTCTGGCTTCAACGGAGAGCAAACCGGAAGTCAGCTTGTGCCCTTCTTGAAATGCTAAGCAAATCCCTGCCCTTTTCCCAGAAGTGATTCATGCTGCTTTCTTCCTACCTCATGTATTCATATAAACAATGTATAAACCCCACCCGTCTCACAGAAGTGTTTCTGACTTGCATGCAAAAATTAAGAACAAGCACAGTTTAACAAAAAACAAATGTCCAAAACCATAAACAGAGTCCAATTCATAGTGAGTAACATTAACCAGCCCAGCTTGATTAACCACACAGCCCAAACACCTGGGAGAACAGTGAGAGGCTCAAAGGATTGAGGCCATCCTAATCTCTGGAGTGATCAGATTCATAGGGCAGACATTGCCATAGAGAGTGAATTACTCTGGAATCTAACAATGTGACGTTGTTTAATTGAAGGGACCAGGAGCTGTCCTCTCTGTTGTCAGCATTCCAAGTAATGCACCCATAGAAAGCAGAACTACGAGGCAGGTAGATTCCTCAAAGAACAATTTATTGGATACATCATATTGGCACGACTGGTGAAAAACAACTCTGAAAGTTCCCTCGGTTTTCACCTAATTAAAAAGTGAAAGTTCCCCCTTTTCCTCAAGTCATCAGTCACGTTGCCTAATAGAGGTGCTGGCTCGTTGCTTGGTTACTCCATTCCTCTCCCCAGCACCTGTTGGAATGTCCTTGCTCCCACAGGAAAACTTTTTGTTTTGACTACAAACCCCAGCTATCTATTTTCCTCCCTCCCTGTCCTTTCTGCCTTGTGGCAACTCTGAAGCCTCAAAGATGACTTTAGTGAGGTTCTCTTCAGAATTGATATCTGGTGAGGTAAAGGCAGAATCCCAGTCCAGGATTTTCTTTCTTTCTTTGATTTTGGCAGGCACTGATGGAGCGTTTCAATGCAGACAAGCGCATCTTCTGCTTCATCTTGTCAACGCGCAGCGGTGGGGTGGGAGTAAACCTGACTGGTGCTGACACTGTAGTGTTCTATGACAGTGACTGGAACCCCACCATGGATGCCCAGGCCCAAGATCGCTGCCACCGTATCGGGCAGACACGGGATGTCCACATCTACAGGTTAAATAAGCTTTCTACTCCATGTATAACAAAACATTGGTTATGATGATGATGTTACCTAATCTGGTAATGAAACGCTCAGAAACTAAATTGAAACAAGCTTGAAGAGCAAACCACGTCCAAAATCTAAAACCCAAGCTACAAGTATTTTCTATTATTTCAGAGCATCGGTTAATCTCATTTAGCCATGTTTACACTGACTGGCAGTTACTCTCCAGGATTTCAGTCTGCACACTTGGCAAATGAGATTGGAGAAGAGGTACAAAGCATGGGATCTAATTGGTTATGTGTCTTGTCAAACAGCGGGGAAATCAGAAGATTCAGGCAGTTCAAATGAGAACAAGTAGCCCTCAACTTACAGCAATTCATTTGGTGACCGTTTGAAGTTACCACCGCCTTGAAAAAAGCGACTGACCATTTTTCACACTTGGAATCATTGCAGCATCTCCGTGGCCAGGTGATCAAAATTCAGATGCTTGGCAACTGACACATAATTATGACTTTTGCAGTGCCTTGGGGTCATGTATCACTTCTGCAATTTTCTGACAAGCAAAGTCAGTGGGGAAACCAGATTCACTTAACAGCCATGTTTCTAACTTAACTGCAGTGATTCACTTAAGTGTGGCAAGAAAGGTCGTAAAACGGGGCAAAAGTCACTTAACAAATGTTTCGCTTAGCAACAGAAATTTTGGGCTCAGTTGTGGTTGTAAGTCAAGGACTACTTGTATAAAGCTTTATTGCAAGCTTAAACTCTTTACAAGAATCTGACCATCTGCCAGCTAAGGGAAATGAGCGGGAGATAAGAGAGGTATTCAAGGTGGGTTGGATGGACTTAAGATTTCTTGCTGCATAAGGACTCATGATTTATAATGCATTTGACCCCCTCCTTTGGGCTCAGCCTGATCTCCTATAGGGTCATTTTAACAGATAGCCACACTCCCATTTTTCAGCACCAGCAATTAGAAGAAGCTCTGGTAGCTGCAGAAAATTATCTAGATGGTTAATAATTGTATTATAGCACAAACCTTTTTTTTAAAAAAAACCTGTTCATTAGTTTCATAGGCTTTTCCTGATGTAGACACAATTCCTAGCAGAAATTTACAGATTAACTCTCTGATGCCTTCTTTAGGTTGATCAGCGAAAGGACTGTGGAGGAAAATATTCTGAAGAAAGCTAATCAAAAAAGGATGCTAGGAGATATGGCTATTGAGGGGGGCAACTTCACTACAGCCTACTTCAAGCAGGTAACTATAAACATCTGTAATTGATTCTGAATCTTGGTGCTGAATTGTGATGTGGTTGGTGTAACAGCGTATGGGACCCACAGTTTCAATCGTAAAGAAGCTTCTTAATTCTGCCCTGTTACTCTAAGATATCCTTAGTTATGTTAATCTGCTACAAAAAAGGCAACAAAAGAATAATCAGATGTGTAGGCCAGCAGTTCCTATCTTGAGGTTATTTTGTAACTTAATTTCTCTGCCCTCAGCAAACAATCCGTGAGCTGTTTGAAATGCCACTAGATGAACCCACTAAGAAGGAAGGAGAGACCCCAGTCCCAGTGCAGGAGGAGGAAGAGGATCCCATGGCCACCAAGCAGACACAGATTCTGGAACAAGTACGTTATTTTGTTCATTACGCTGAACATAAGAGAGCTGCCCCCCCTTGGACCAGGACTGTTGTGATTTCTGTCTGGAAATGTCTTCCCTCACAGGCACTGTGCAAGGCCGAGGACCCTGAAGATATCCGGGCAGCTACTCAGGCCAAGGCAGAGCAAGTGGCTGAGCTGGCAGAATTCAATGAGAACATTCCTTTGGATGCAGAAGACCGGTCCACCAAAGAGGAAGAGGAAGAATTTTCTAAAGCAGAGCAGGAAATTGCTTCGCTTGTAGAACAGGTATATAAAATCCTTCCTTTTAACCTGAGATGGAAGTGGAAGGCTGCCCCTTTGTTCCATGATGTAGACCTGCTGCAGTCATACAAAAATACTGTTTCCTTTAGATCAGGATTATTCAATCTTGACAACCTCAGGATTTGCGGACTTCAAGTCCCAAAATTCTGGGAGTTGAAGTCCACAGGTCTTAATAGCTGCCAAGGTCAGACACCCCTGCTTTAGATTCAGGCAGAGGATTTTTTTCATCAGCTTGTTTGTTTAAGTGTATATGGCTCCCCATCTCATCATGACTCTGGGAGGCCAACCAAAACTAAAAAAATACAACCGAACAGCAGCATAACAAGTAAATCCATAAGAGGCAGTAGGAATAAAATGTAAACAAACATTCAAAATTCAACACAAATAGAAACATCTCACAAGCACTGCCCTTGCATTCTAACCCCCATGTCCAAAATAATTTTAAAACATGTAATCAATTCTTTTCAAAGATCCCTTGTGAATTTTTTCCTCCCCCATTTTCTAGCTCACTCCTATTGAACGCTATGCCATGAACTTTTTGGAGGCATCCCTGGAGGACATCAGTCGGGAGGAGTTGAAGCAAGCAGAGGTAAATTTCCACTCCCTGGTTGGTGAAATTCTTTTAGATAATACCTGGTCAGAAAAATGGGAATCAAGGATCATGTAGCTTTTCTTTAAAAAAAAAAAAAAAAAAAGCCGGCTAAATCTTACGTTAAATGTTGGTCAGCTCCTCAGTCTGATTCAACTTCTTTAAAATAGCCGCAAAGCAAACCTCTTCCAGGCTGTTGAGAATCCCATTTCTCTGGTCTCTCAACCTTTCATGGAGAGGACAGTTGGCACATCCTGTATATTAAGGACCTTCTGCCATTTTGAAATATGATGAGGATGTTTAGCATTTTGTCCTATGGAGAAGGGGGAAAAGGGCTATGTCTCTATGGTCTTACTTTTCCTGATGCCTTTGAGTAGCTAAAATCCTTGCCAACCTAGTAGTGATTTCTCCTTATCTGATTTCTCTGTTGTTCCAGGAACAGGTGGAAGCTGCCCGCAAAGATATTGACCAGGCTAAGGATGAGGTGGTCTTTAAACTGCCAGAGGATGAAGATGAGAACTATCTCCATGAGGAAGGTTCCAGCAAGAAAAGCAAGAAGGCCAAAATGTCTAGCCGGACACTGTCAGAAAGGACTGGCACCCGCATGAGTGAACGGCTCCGTAGCACTCGTCTTCCACCAAAGGATGGGGATAGCGGACACGTGGAATCCATCCAGACGAGGTTGCCCAATCTCCGGCATTCCCGAATGGTGACAGATGAGGAAGATGACAACGTGCCCCGAGTAGCCCTGCACACCAGAAGTGCTTCAATACGTAGAGTGGTGGTGGTGCGGGAAGAAAAGCAGGCTCACATAGTCCCGAATACTCGAAGAACTTTGACCCGTCGGGAAGAGCTATGGAATAAAGGCCCAACTAGTGGGGAGAAGATGCAGAAAATGCCCCTCCACAGAAGTGAAGCTTCTGGTGACAGGGTTTTGAGAACTAATCTCCATAGAACAGACACCCCATCTGCTGGGGATAAGCTGCTACAAGCTATTTCACAGAGATCAGATCCTGGAGCTGCTGGGGACAGAATTCTAAGAGGTACCACATCAAAGACTGAGACCCTGCTTGTTGATGAAAGTGCCCCACAGGCATCAGATACCAACTTGGATAAAGGGCTGAGGCAGAAGCCTGAAAAACCTTCCAGCCCGGATAAAGTTACATGTAGCCCACCTAAGCCTGAGGTGTCACCTAAGCCGGAGGTAAAGGCTCCCGAATTTCACTTGCAAGAACTTGATGGAGAGGCATTTAAATTGAAAGCGGATGTAGAAGAGCAGAAAACAGAAACAGAAATTTCCCAGTTCAGTCCACCAACCCTGGATTTCCACCCTGCTGAGTCTGCTACAGATAAGGAAGTTCCAGCATTCCAAGAACAAGACACTTTGCTCACTGGGAAAGTATCGGGTACACAGGCATTACCTGATGCCGGGAAGCTGAATATCCCAGGTAGTAAAATAGAAGCAATGACTCCAGTGCCACTTGGCACTGTGGAACTAACTTCTGAGAGCAAACCTGAGGTTACAGGTGAAATAAATTTACCTGTGATTGAGCAAAAAATGAGTGTAGAGAAGCCAACGGAAGGAGCAGATGTGAGCACCAGCTGCAATGCTGCAGAAGGAGAACCAGTCAATTCTGCGGATGAGGCAACCAAGCAGATCTCTACTCAAGAGACTACAGCACCTCTTGATGACACTGATAAGGTAGTAACCGAGTCTCTTTCTTCTAAAAGCACAAAAGACGCCACTTGGGAAGCCGCAGACAGTGCAGTATCGTTTGTGTTGGACAGTGAAGCCCCCAAGATGGACCCTCCTGTGTTTCCTTCCTTGGATCACTCTCCAGCTACAAGCTCTCTCCTTCAACTGGAAACTTTGGCCTGTATCAAGGAACAAAATGGCTTGAAGGAATCTCTGAGAAGTGGAGACCTCCCTTCTCCTCTTTCAAGTTTGCTAACTGGGCCCCAGCTTGAAATCGTGCCCTTGGAGGGTACATCGCCAAAATCAGAGACAGCTGACAACAAAGTCAGTAGTCTTGGTGAAGCAACAGCTCAAAATCAAGGAACGGTAGGGAAAAACAATCACGGGGAGGGGCCCCAGGAGGCTAAGCTTACAGCAGTCTGCCCTAGCTCTGCCTCTTCGCAGGAAAGTTCATCGCTTCCAGGAAATTTGTCTTCAGATGACAGCCTTTCACCGAACAAACCTCCCCGTCGCCGAACCAGCGCTGATGTGCAAATCCAGCAAAGCTGTCAAACGCCAGATGGCCCTGCCGCCAAAGTGTTACGCAAGTTGCCAGGGCGCCTGGTCACGGTGGTGGAGGAAAAAGAGCTTGTTCGTCGACGTCGCAATCGCCTATGCAAGCTGGATTCGGCCCCCAGGGCTGTGATGAATCTGGGCAGCAGCGTGACGCAAAGCCTGTCGGAGCCAGAAATTCTGCCTTCTATGAAAGCCTTGCCTCTGCTGCGGGATTTGCCTGCCCGGCGAAGAATCGAATTGGAGAGCCGGGCAGCAGCCAAAGAAAAGGACGATGGTTTGAAAGGGGAGCTGCTAGGTAATATGTCCTCTGAGCCCGTCAAGCGCAAACGAGGACGTCCCCCCCAAGAACAAGTCACCGGATCAGCAGAGTCCAGGGTTGCTCCAGCCCTTCCCTGAGCCAGCTCTGGAGATCAGCCCCCAAAGAAAAGCACCAGTGAGGAAAACACCCGAGGGCCATCCACAGACTCAGTCCCCAGAGCAGAAGGGGCCTGAGAGCTCCTCTCCCAAGAGCAAGACAGACAGCAGTGAGAATGGTGACTCCCCTGTGGAAAAGCGAAGGCGTGGCCGGCCCCCTAAGACTCGGCAATCCCCCATCATGCCTAACAAGTCTGCTTCGGAAGCGCTGCTATCCCCATCCACAAAACCTCAGACTGTGCAAAAGAAGCTGCCGAAATCTGAGGCAGTCTCTGTAACAGAGGCAACCTCAAAGCTTTCTGAGCCTCTAGACTTACATCCCAAAACGGCCATCTCAAAAACCTCAGCTAAAGCACGGAATCGAACCTCACTGCATTCTCAACCCGGGTCGGATTCTAAATCCACCTTGAAGGCACGAGAATTGTTGACTGCTTTCCCTAAAGCGCTTTCCAAACCATCCACTGAAGTGTGTGAACCCCAAGCATCTTCCCCTCGAGGGGCCTCTGCCACAGAAACTTCACCAGAGATGCAAGATCCGCCTTATCTATCCCCTGTGTCACACTCACTACCCAAAGGTGCCCCCAGCTCCCCAGCAGCAAATTCTCCACCTAAGCGGAAAAGGGGTCGTCCCCCAAAGAACCCATCTTCGCCTCGGGTGGAGGTGGCACAACCTCCCGCCTCCAACTCTGACCAGGAGACATCTTTGGAGAAGCACACCCCAGCTCCTCCTGGCCGCAAACGACGAAGGCGTAGGAGAAAATATAACCTTGGTCCATCGTTGCCCAGCGCCAACCAGAGCTCTTCGGATGGTGAGGAGACCCGACCGCTCACCAGACTCGCCCTGCTGAAGAGGGAAGAAAAGCCAGAATCTTGCAGTGGGGCATTAGTTCCACCCTCTCCAAAGCACACAGGCACTGAGAGGGCTTCATCTGCAGAGAGTAGTACTTGGGAACAGCCTTCTGGTGACACCCCTGCCCGCTCAACTCGCCTGCGGCCTGGCTACCTTGTTCCACCCCTGGAGCGGGAAACCCAGCGAAGGAAACGGCGCTGCTCCATGGAGGGCAAGCGGGTGAGGAACAGCAGTAAGTCACCTGCTTCCCAAGGCATCTCTGAACAGGAGGGCGGAGAGTCGGAGTCTTCTCTGAAATCCTCCTCGGAATCCAACAGCTATAAGTGTATCCAGCAGCCGAAGCGCAAGTGTTATGACTCAGCCAGGCGGCGCAGTCGAAAAAGGGGCCAGGGTCACCAGAGTGGGACGGCTGACCGCATCCTCCGTAGCGCAGCGAAGCCTGTCGACAGTACCAGATCAGGGTCCTCCCCGATTCCTCCCAAGAAAACGGGCCCTGTTTTTGCTTCTCCGGCTGTGGGGGTCACTGGAGCCCTCTCTTCCCCAATAACCCCTTCCTCCACTGCCCCGGTTACCTCTTCGCAAAGTAACAGAGGCCGCAAGCCCAAGACGTGACCACAGCGCGAGAGGTCCCGACGGTCTTTCTCTGCGGGGATGGCTCGACCGCCACCTTTTCCCGCACATAACAGTAAGGTGATCTAGTCCCTCCCCTCCCTTTGCTCTTATTCCTCCCGTTAATGTGGGGGGTGGCTACTGGAGCTCCCTGCATTCCAGTCTTGACTGTTGGAGTACTACTTGAAAGGAGAAGGAGGAGGAGGACGGTGAGCGTGGCTCTTGATTCCCAGGTGCTTTTTCTGGGAGAAGGCAAGGGGCATTCCCGCTGAAGTCGCTCGCTGGGCCTTGGGAGCTCAGTTGCCCCGCTGCAGATTATAGTGGCAGGGCCAGCACTTTGAAATGAATTCTGCTACTTCCTAACCGTGATCAGAGAGTGGTGGTGGGGGGAGTAGCTTCAGAGTTGTTGCCCCTAGAATAACACTACAGGGCACCTGCTATCCTTAAATGCCCCCCAGCGCTTTGGGAAGTCCAGCCCAGGCTTTTGATAGGCACGTGTCACGTTTTGGGCCCAGGTGTTCCTCTAACCTCTTCCCTCTCACCCGCCCCTGAATCCTGCAGAGGATGCCCTCCTGATTTATAAACATGATTAGCTCTTACTTTTTTACTGGCTTTGGGTTGGTTTTTAAATGACAAGAGACCAAATGCTAGGTTCCCTTTCTTGGCTATCCCTTTTGATTGTCTCCCTGCTTATTCCGTTCACCATGTCGGGCCCTTTTGAGGCATGAAGAGGTGGGACAGTTATTTCCCCAACCAACCTGGAGGGCAAGGGAGAGGAGACACACCACCCAACCCAGTAAGATTATGTGCTCCTTTTCTGCATCACAACCAAGAGAAAAATGTCTTCTTTTAATGATGTCAATCACAGCCTCACTGCTCCAAGGACTTTTTTTGTGGGTTCATGAGTTGGGTCAACTCCTCCCCCCCCCCTCCACTCCTCTTGTGTACAGCTCTCATTGTAAAATAGGTTCTTTTGAACATAAACTATGCAAAGGTTATTTTGTATAGGGGAGCACAATTTTCCCTCCCCTCCCTCACTGCAGTGGGTTTTAGGGGTCGGCAGCGGTTCTCTGGATTTGGGGATGGGCTGCAGTTGGGGTGGAGGGGGAAGTGTTCCCATGGAGCTGTCTTTCCTACTGAAGCATGTTCAGAACTTGTACAGAAGACCGATGTAATCTTTCTTCAGAATAATGCTATGAATAAAGTGTTAAAAGGGGGAAAAACGCACACCACATGGATTTGTGGATTTTTTTTAAAGGTGGTTTTACTTTCTGTGTCTCCATCTCTTTGGAAAACAGGTTGCTTAGGCACAGTGGGTAGGTTGTATAAGGGAGCTGGGTGTTGGTGTTTCTCCACACATTGCGCTCAAATTCAGCAAATTTACTTGGTCTGTAGCACAAGGTGTCATTTGCTGTCATACTCAGTTGGACAAACTGGAATCTATATTTGCCCTTGTTCCCATTTGCCCATTTCAAACCAAAGACCTAATTTAGTTTACTTTATTGTCCTTGCACCTTGTACAATGAAATTAAATGCCATCTTCAGTGTACATCATACATAAGAAAACAATAAAAATAAAACAAAAACACATCCTTCACATTCTATACAATTGAATTGAAAATCCCTGATACTGCATTAGTATTACACTATACAGTAGAATTCAATATAGTTACTGCTCTGGGATAGAAGCTGTTTTTCAGCCTATTTGTCCTTGTTTTTATTGTTCTGTACCATCTACCAGATGGTAATAGTTCAAAAAAGGGTGCCCAGGATGAGATGGATCTGAATGTTTTGAACTAGCTTGAGCAAAATAGGCAGTTTGCTTTGGTGGCCAAGCCTATTATTTTAGCATACCTGCAGTTTAAAAGTAAAGGTTGTGCTTAGAATGGTAGCAAATTATATCAGGAGTTTATTAGGAAACAGCCAAACAGGTAATCCTCAACTTAACAATAGTTTGTTTTAGTGACCATTAAAGTTACAAGAAGTTACAACAGCACTGAAAAAAGAGACTTGTGACCATTTTTCACACTTATGAAGTTGCAGCATCCCTGTGGCCACGTGATTTATACTCAGATGCTTGCCAAGAGGTTCATATTTATGACAGTTGCAGTGTGATTCCCCTTTTACGACCTGACAAGCAAAGTCAACGGGGAAGCCACATTCACTTAAGAATTGTGTTAGTAAGTTAAGATGTGGCAAGAAATGTCGTAAAATAGGGCAAAACTCACTTAACTAATTTCTCACATAGCAACATAAATTTTGGGCTCAGTTGTTGAGGACTACCGATATCATTTGAGAATAGAAGTGGACGATGTGTCACATTCAGATACAACATTTTGTATGACAGTACTTTCCTTGTAATCTGATTTATTTACTGCCTTTATATCCTGCTACCAAGATTATGTAAAAGATCATAATGGAATATAAATGTACTAAATAAATAATTGGGAGACAGAAAAGCCAGATGCAAGACCAACCGATCTGCCTGTTGTAATTTTACATTCACATCCTTTGTCCACACAATTCATTTAGAAATCTTCTCCTCAGGAAGATGCTACCCTGTCTTACATTTTTTTGAACCCTGAAATAAGCCTTATTGCCATGTGCTCAAAATCCTGATTATTATTATCAGGGGATGTCTTATTTTGGGGGAAACTGTTTTTTTTTTAGTAAAACATTCTTCCTTGCACTGGATTAGTTTATGTAGGGAGGCAGGAAACTTCAGAGAAGAAAAATTCTGACCATCTGCCCTTAACTGACTACATTACCCCTCTACACTATAGCTGACTTCCCTCTGCTGGCAAGCATGACACAAATGGGGCACATTCGTCTTTTAGGTAAAAGGGTATCAATTCTAAATCGGGCAGGAAGCCTATGTCTCACCTGCAGAAGAGACAACCGTGGGGGGGAGATGATTGCAGTCTTGACCTCCCAAGGTTTGGCATGTTAAGAGAAAGAACAGATTTCCTCTCATGTCCCACAAGTCGAGACCAGAACTCAGTTGAGTTAAAATCATGTGAAGTCCTTTCAAGATAAGATGTTGGGAAGAATTTCCTGACCTCACAATTGTGACCCAGTGGAACAAGCTGCAATGAAAAGTGAATTCTTTAATGAGGTCTTTAAACAGCCTGGATGGTTGTTTCTCAGAGATGCTCTGGTGAGTCTTAACCTGAGAGCAGGAGCCTGCCTTCATCCTTGTGATTCTGTGATGCTAGCAGGATCATGTGTGGTGATCATAGGAGTTGTCCATTATTTGAACACTGCAGGTTCCCATTACTATAAACCAAAACAGGAAATATTTAGGTATCGGTCAAGAAAATAGTGATTGTAGGGGCTGATAGTTCCAGCCCACATGAGGGCAGCACATTGGAAAAAGCTGGACTACATTGGAAGGAATGGGTGGGGGGAATACTTTGTGTTATGTTAGCAACCAAGTCTGCCACGAACAAATAAAATCAAACTACCAAACTTGTAATATCCTCTAAAAGGAAGCAATAAATTATTCGGCACATAGCTTTGTTGCAAGCTTTGTAGTAGCTAGTTTAGGAATGTAGGCAAACTTGTTCCTCAGTCTGCAGGCATTACTTGACAGAACCTGGTGTGATTCTTCAGGGTTGCAGTTGAGGAGTGTCCTTGATGGAGCTCTTTCTAAGCTGCAGTTTAGTTTTCCTTTTCATCTCATTGACCTTGCTACTAGTCTGAAAAGAAGGGTCTAACGAGGGATTGTTGAACGGAATTGAGTATGTTTGTGGCACTGTCCAAAGAGGAGGAAGTCCCAGGCTAAGAAGAAAAGAGCCAGGAAAAAAAAGTATCCTGCCTCAGTTTTCTCTGTTCTTCAACCTGAACTTGAATTTGAGCATATCTGCAGTAGGGTAAGTACTTCATGAAGCAAATTGAACACTCCATTGATAAACACTGAAAGATGAGAAACCGGTCTGTTCGGACCAGTTCGCCTGAACTGGTAGTAAAAAATGCAACCAGTTCAGGGGAACCGGTAGTAAAAAAAATGCTACCGGTTTGGGCAAACCGGTATTTCCGACGATCAGCTGTGCCGCGCAATTTATATTTGCTAGAAAGCAGGAAATCCTGCTTTCTAGCAAATCTAAATTGCGTGGCATAGCTGTTCCCCCCTCGCTGTTCTATTTACCTTTGCAGACTTACCTTTGCAAAATGGTGCGCACCATGCATGCGCACACAAACAGGTAGCAGACTTCAGAGCATTTCACCCCTGATGCTGACTAAACCACTTAAAGAGGGCCGTAAAGTACAATGAAGCGGTATATAAGCCCTATTGCTCTTGCTAACCTTACTTGGCTAGGCAAGCCAGCTGCTGTTCCTTAAGTCACCTGATTTCCTCTTCATTGACCCACCCTGCCTAGGAGGTATTTCTCAGAATATTCCCTATCTTATCTGCCAGGCTCCATCAATCATCTTCATCAGTTGGAGGCAGCCTAGAAGTCTTTCTCACGCAGCTTTCTGCCTACCTTAGCAGAGATTTCCAGTTGGACCATTTCCTATCAAAACGGCAGCACCCAGAAGACGGGGGCCACAAGCTCACCTGGAATGATTCAAACATGACTTCATGGAGAAAGCAGCGGGAACCCAACCCAAGATAGGCGAAACTGGTGGGCGTGTGAGTACATAACAGTCAGAGAAAACCAGGAAAAAGGTGTTCAGAAGAACAGTAAACATCAAGAGAGGTGCGAGCCCTGCCGGATGTGAGTCTTTTCTTAAGGCTTGCTTTCTTCTGTTCCTCTCCTCCCTATCTTCACCAAAAGAGCAGAATGAAGGATCCAGTCAAAAAGCTCTCTTAATCTTGATCTCGTACATTCTGTTTGTGGAAAAGTTGTCTGTCTGGCGGTGTTCTGCTTTGTCTGGTTTTGTGACAATTTGGCCAGGCTCAACTCAAGACACAAGAGCTTGGATCAAAGAAGACTGACGCCAAGATGATGTGATTCGTCTCCACGCCACACCAAGTCCCAGAGTTGGAAATCGGGTCTCCCAAATGAAATGAAGACATTCACACTTCTGGCCTCTGTAATTAGACTCACAACCTCGGACTACCGTAATACCTTGATGCCTCGGAGAATTAATGTGAATCACTGAAGCAGCAAAAGAGTCTAGCTTTTTGACTTTTTATTAATGAAGGCGAATATACGCATCCCAGGATAATGTTGCAGAATCCAATCTGGATCAGTCACCGGGACCAGAGATTTAGTCTTCTGAGCTTTTGGACTTGTGCTGGAGCCCATCTTCAGAGAACTTCTGTCTAGCCTTTTTGTTTTTATTTCAGCAACTTGCTGGTGTCCTTTAGTCATGGATGAAGAAATGGGGGTCCTCAATGAAGGGGAGAGTAGAGGGATGGTAGGACCGGACACCTTGGAGAGTGGCAATCCTGGCAAGCCCCCTGCTTTGAATGTGCACAGATTGCGTAACCTGGCCATAGCTAGCATCATCTGTGGCTGTTCGTGCATTGGGGTCCTGGCTCTGATCTATGCAGTCAAGGTGAGTGATTTCCCATATGGGAAAAGCTGGCTGGGAAGGTGGTGATAAAATTAATATCTCTGTTCGGTGTTCCCTGAACGAGAAAGAGAACAATATCAAGTCCAGTTTTCTTTGGGAAAATAATTCCTGGAGATTTAAGAAAAGTAATATATACCTCTCTTATTTAATAAGGGTATGATCTTTTTTCCTTCCCAAATATATGTACTGATCCAAAAAAGATGTACTGTATTTTTCAGAGTATAAGACACACTTCCCCCCACCCAAAAGAGGCTGAAAATTTGGGTGCGTCTAATACTCTGAATGTAGCTTTTTCGAAGCTTCTTTTCAGCCCTAAAGAGGTACTAGCGAGTGAAGCGATCTTCTGCGCTTTGCCTGCTCCCTCTTGACTCTCATCTGTTCTTTAGAAGTTATTTTTTTATTCCCTAGCAGTGGATAAAAAGAGCATGCATGTGCTCAAAACTAGCAAACTAATGTGCTGAAGCTGACCAGACTAAGGACGCTAGCCAGATGAATACCTGGTAGGCAGATTTTTTTTTCCTATTTTCCTCCCCAAAAACTAAGCTGTGTCTTATACTCCAGTGCATCTTATACTCTGAAAAATACAGTATTTAGAACCCACGCCAATAAAATCTTGAATCCTGAAAAAAGCCTTCGAAACCTCCCTTTTAGAGGCTGAAAAAAAAAGCAAGGCTCAGGGCTCACAACCAACAAACCTGTTGCCAAAGTTCACCTCTGGGAACAGCTGATTGGGGGTATTCCAGGAGGTCATCCACCCCTGATCAGCTTTTTTCCTTTAAAAGCCTTTAACGATCCCAGCTGAACCGTGCAATCATCAGAGGCTTTTTTTTTAACTTTTAAAAGCATTTTTTGCCCAAAGAGGTTGTAGAAAAAATGCTTTTAAAAGTAAAAAAAAAGGCTCTGATTATTGTGCGGCTCAGCTGGGCTTGTGGGGGGGGCATAGATTTTTGCTACCGGTTCTCCGAACCACCTGCCTCCATTGCTACCGGATTGGGCGACCCGGTCTGAACCGGGAGCATTTCACCCCTATGTCTTATAGTCCAAAAAATATGGTAGTATGACTTATAGAATTCTCGACAACTGAGGATAATAGAGTGGGATTTGAATGGTGGGAGAAGGTATTCCTCAAGCAGATGTGGAAAATAACTATCCCGGAGCTGATGTTCATTAAAATTCCCAGGCTACCTTCAGGCGGCAAAGCCTGATCAATATTTTGCAAAAGTGTCAAATTCCAGAACTGAGGAAAGCTGTTGCATTCCATGGGCTGTAAGGTTTTAAAAAGCATGGATCCACATTCCTTTAAAGAAGGTACTTGAGGCCTCTCATGAAGTGGGCTATAAAAAGCTAAAGCTAGAAGAAACAAATTAATTCTTAAGGCTCTTGTTTTTATCTTAAGATCGCTTAAAGGCTTATCCAGGATTAATCAATGGACAAGCAGAACTAATTGAGGGGGACAAGATTTCCTATAAAACTAGAGGGAAGTTTATAATCTTGGTAAAAGATTTGGGCCACCACTGATTCTACCCCAACAATGTGCAGCCTCAGGATGTTTTTAAGGGAGAACATTCAATCAGATTGTAGTTTCACAAGAATTGACAATGGAACCAAACAGCTTCATTTTTATTTTTTTTTATGGCTGGAAGACAATGGCCAAAATATTCCTCCAGGGCAGGAGGAAAGCAAAAACCAACCTTGTAGTGGAACCCATGACAAAATGTTACTTAGTCTGGCTGCTTCCTCTTTGAAGTTTATTTAAGTATTTATTAAATTCCTATACCACCCATCTGGCCTAAGTGACTCTGGGTATTTCCTTCAAAGCAATTCTCTTTCCACCCAGTTGCCCATTATGTTCTTCAACAGTCAATCAGAATTTGGTCCGCCCAAATAAGACTCATCCTTCCTTTCCCAGCATCTTTGGGTTTTTAATATTGTTCCCCCCCCCACCCTCTCTGCAAATATTCAGTGGCCGTTCAATCTGTTAACACCTCCCTGGAGTTCCAATTTTGCTAATTTTTATGCTCATCCATGATAAGAGAGAAAATTATGTTTTGTTGGATGGTCAAGTTGATTTATTTATTAATTCAGAATGTGGGAAGTTATAAACCAGTGTTTCTCAAAGTGAAATTTATCAAAGAGAGATCCAATCTAGAAGTAAGGAGAATTTTTCTGACAGTGAGAACCATTAATCAGTTGAAAAAAGTGGGCATGCATTTATCCAGGATGGCATAAGGTCTTCTGCTTTTGGCAGGGGATTGGACTAGAAGACCTCTAGTCCCTTCCAGCTCTATGATTCTATGTTTCTATTTGCTCTATAGTGTTATTTTATTTAAAAATAATTTTAACTTTTAATTAAAAGGTTGTTTGTTTTTTTGCATGAAATCTATCTCACATTTAACTTGCATCTGGGTAACCAACCTATTTGCCCCACTTTGCCCAACCCTATTTAAATCCTGCATTACTTTAGCCTCAAGCTGAATAAATGACCCCAAACTGGGTAAAACTGAATTTTTTGAATTTTCATTGGAACACACTACCCAATCAAAATTCAACTTGACTTAAAATGTATGACCTACACATTTTATTTGAGCAGCTTGCAAAAACTTAGGTCTTTTAATCAACTTTGTGAATGTAAGAAGGTGCTACCTGGATCTTTCTGGTTTTTTCCCCCACCTTAGACCAACACTGCTCTTCTGCAACACCTGCAGGAAAGGACTGTTCTGGTTGAGCTCAGGTGGTTGGAAACTCCCCACCAGCCTCTTTGCCAGGTGGAAAGCATTGGAGGCATTGACTTTAAAGATACGGTGTGGGTAGAATGCAAATCTTTAGAACTGGTCTTGTAAACATTTCCAAGCTACTAACAAGATAGGAACATATTTCGATGTCTTACCTGAGGAAAAAAGGAGGCCCAACTCCTTCCTTGCCCTATCTAGGTTTGTCTGCCCATCTGGACTCTAGATTTAGGATCAATATGCAGAAATACAGGCCAAGGACATTTGCATAACATGTTACCTATGGTTAGCTGAGTTAAAATTCCCTGACCGAATCCAGTGTTTTGATTTTAATGATACAATGAGTCTTAAACTAAGCATAGGCTCTAACCCAGCATGCTCAGTTGACATGTGAATGAATTATTTGTGATTCAGTGTATTGTACTAACAATTCCCTAGGGAAGAGACAAGAATTCTGAGACCTATATCAAGCATTTCAGCAGGTAATGTATATAATATATGAAAAATCAGGCTAAGAATTTTTTCCTTAAAATGAATGATTTCTGGTGTCTTTAATCTACATCCAGAGTGAATAACAAAGCTGTTTTTTGCTCCTTTAGGCTAATGAAAAGCAAAAGACCCATTGCCAGAAAGCAGCACTTCATTGGGCTCGGAAATCTCGGCTTATGTCTTGCCTGAGTATCATTGTTTGGGTTTCCCTTCTTATTCTGATCCCCATGTTACTGGTCCTCCTGTCTTACCTCATATCTAAAGCAGAATGATGAGCCACATCATTTGGTGATTTTGGGCTTCCAGAATCCATGTTGACTATTGCGGTTTCTTCAGTTGGATTAAGCTAAGCGAGCACTGAAGTATTTCTTGTGGTGGCACTTTCTTCGTTGAGTTGGCTCCATGGACGGGAAAAACGGCGGACATCTTTTTTTTTTTCCTCCTGCAGACAATGTAGAAGAATCTGTTCTGCTTGATGTAAGACGCCTATTTTATTGCTGAAATAACCCAGTGAGGGGTTATTTCAGCAATCTCCTTTTGAATTCTTGTGGGTGGCACAAATAACTTAGAATAACTTTATTGTCACTTTGAATATACACTAATCGGTATACATTCAAATGAAATTTCATTGCATACAGCTCTCAAAGGGTCACCACCTCCAATATACACTACATAAACACGACAAAATAAATAAGTACAAAAGTATGCATATACCTACATGTATTATATGACACGGCGAAACAACACAGTCTAGTTTGGATATATACATGTACAAGGCGAGAAAAACGAATCTTGCGAGTTTACCAGACGGATGGCATAGGGAACGAAGCTGTTCTAGTCCTGCTAGAAATACTTCAAAACCTCCTCCCAGAGGGGAGGGGAACAACAAAAACAGACCATGAAGTGGGTGTGTGGGGTCTCTAACAATGCTTTGAGCTCTAAATACATAGTGCTTATAAGCAGTATCCTGAAGCGAGCTTCCTATAATCATCTTGGTTGTCCTTACTACTCTCTCTATGGACTTTCTATCTGAGGCACTGCTGCCAGCAAACCAAACAGTGATGCAGTTTGTTAAAACGCTCTCAATTGTGCCTCTGTAAAAAGTAGCCAAGACCAGGAGAAAGATGTACTCTCCTCATCCGACGCAGGAAATGCAGATAACATGGATGGGCACAGAAAGCAGTATGAACATCAAGGTGGAATTAAAGCACAGAATGGGCGGGGGGGAGAGTTGGATTGAAATCCTGCCCCATCTAAAGATCCCTCGGGTGACCTCAGACCAGTCCTTCAATCTTAGTCCTGGTCCACCTTGGAGGGTTGTTGTACAGATAAAACCGGAAAGCGGAAGTCCCTTTTGGATGAAAAGCAATTAAAAATAGCAACATAGCTTTCTTAGGGAGTCAGGCTGCATCATGGCGTAGTGGTTAGAGCACTCTTCTCACCCTGATGCCCTCTCAGGATTCCAATTCCCATAATTCCCATGCAGAACCGCTCCCACACATTTGCATAGCATAAGGTGGAGGAAAATTGGCCCAATCAATAGGAAGGCCAGATTTAGATTGCTGCAGATCCGAGGTGAACGTGGGTGACCTTGAGCTGCCCATCTTAATCTACTTCAGAAAGTCATGAGGTTCGTGCATTGCGGGCGGAGGGTCCAGCTAGGGTGGGTTGTGTGCAGTGGTGGGATTCAGCCGGTTTGTACCAGTTCGTCCGAACTGTTAATTGCTTGTGCAGTTCGGAGAACCAGCTGAAAATAAAGTGCAAGAGAGGTTTTTCTTCTTCTCTCCCTTCAGTTAATAGCTCCAGGCAGACAGCCAAGAACCACTTAACAGTTGTAGCTGGAATGCAGCTGACACACACCTTGAATAAAGTCAATAAATAACCGAAACTGACAGGATTAGGGCAGAGAAGAGGAAACCTATCAATCACCCATCTAGGGATGGGATAACCTCTTCCCTTCAGGAAGGACAGGATTATAAACATTTTCATTATAAAAGGTATTAAGTAACACTTCTGTGATCAGCTGATACTCCCTGGAGTTCCCCAAGACCTTTTATAGCTGCTGTAGTGTTGGCTACTTCTTGTTTCTTCCTGGAGAAAAAGATACAAGAGGGGACAATGATGCAGCTTGATGATACAGGCCGTGAATTTAATGCACCTGTGGTCCAGCCAGCTGTATTGCTTCTACTGTAAAGCACCCAATTTAGAACATTGAGAACATAGAATAATAGAGTTGGAAAAGTTAATGGCTATTGGCAGCATGCCTAGGCTTTCAATTAGCATGAGCAGCTGGTCTTAGTTTCCCTCTCAGCTGGTGAGTTTGCTTTGGGGTTTTGACTTTGTTTTTTAAAGGGGGAATGGCTGTTTTAAGTTTTCTACATTGGTTTAGTGGTTCCTGGCCCTGTTCTTTTGGGGTGTACTTCCCTTACTCTTTTCGAAAGCCTCTAGTGATGGAGCACCCACAACTTCTGAAGGTAAGCTATTCCATTGGTTGATTGGTCTCACCCTTAGAAAATTTCTCCTTAGTCCTAGGTTGCTTCTCTCTTTGGTTAGTTTCCATCCATTGTTTCTTGTTGTGCCTTTTGGTGCTTTGGAAAATAGATTTGACTCCTTCATTTTTGTAGGAGCCGCTCAAATTTCCTGACAGTTAGAACAATTAATCAATGGAACCACTTGCCTCCAGAAGTTGCGAATGCTCCAACACTGGAAGTTTTTAAAGAAGAGATTGGATAACCATTTGTCTGAAATGATAGAGGGTTTCCTGCCTAAGCAGGGGGTTGGACTAGAAGACCTCCAAGGTCCCTTCCAACTCTGTTATTCTATTCTATTCTCAATATTGGAACAGTGCTAGTTTATTGTGCGTTGGACTACGGAGAAATTTCCTAAAGGTGAGACAAATCAAGTTGGCCATGCCCACTCAGTCTGTCATTAGGGCAGAAAACCGGTTAAATTATTTGAATCCCACTACTGGTTGTGTGCCTGTGTGTGTGTGTGTAATAACACTGTCCTGGGTGATCACATGACCAAGCCTTGAAGAAAGGCGTGGGAGAATTCATATCGCCGCCCCCCCCCCGCCTCTTGACCTTTCCTTTGGCGACCGTGAAACCTAGAATAACCCTTTCGCCCAGCACCCGCCCCTTCCCTTTTCCCATTGGCTAAGCTTTCACCCGAAGTTTGTTTATCGAGCCGCACCGCCTCTCGCTCCTTTATCCAAATCGAGCAGTCGATTGGTTCACCCTCCTGACACTTTAAAAACAACCTTCCTTTTTGATTGGCTGAGCTTTCTCCCGTCGGTGGCTGCGTGCGGGTAGGGAAACAGCGCTTCCTCTCTTTCAATCCTTCCATTTCTTCTTCCTCAGATTGGCTTCTGCTTGTAGAAAAGCCCCTCCCCTCCCTTCGCTCTCTGTTCGTCTGGCCATTGGGCGCCGCTCACGCCAGTCCCGACGGGATCCCTTTGGTCGCCACCCCGCGGCATTGAAGGAGCGCGGACCAATCCGGTCGAAGGGGCGGGGCCCGGGAGTCGCCGGGTGCCGTCGTGGGGGGAGGGGGGGCATTAACTCAATTAAAGCGGAGGGCCGCCAGGTGAGCGTCCGGGGGCGTCTCTTTGTGCGGGAATCCATTGCATAACGCGAGACACCCCCCCCCCCCCCCCCCCCCCCCCCCCCCCCCCCCACCTGCAGAAGGAGAAGGCAAAGAGGAGAGGTGAGCGGACCGGGCTTACGGGCCAAGAGAGGCGGATAATGGTCGGTGGCATAATGGGACCCAGGAGAAACCCCGGGATCCCTTGTCTGTCGCTGATAGGCCACGGAGCTGAAAGGCAAAACGAGGGTTTTCTGAGAACGCGCAGAGTGCATTTCTAATCGTGGCTTAGCGAATCTTGGGTTGGGGAGTGGGGGGAAGGGGAGAAGGGATGGAGCTTTCGCCGCAGAGCAGCCTCTGCCCGTTTTGTAACGTAAACCCCCTCGCCTTCTGTGCTGTTATGTCTTTAGGTGCTCCGGCCGATGGCTTCGCGAGTGATTCCTTGATTTCTGAGTAAGTTTTGCCAACAACCTTGGAAGGTAGGCCGTATGCTTAGAAAGCAAGGACCAAGTGCAGGGAAAAGCGGCAGATATCCATCTCTCCCTCCCCCTCCTTCTCTCCCCCTTTTTCCTTCCCTCCTTCCCTCCTCCCTTACCCCCACTCTCCCCCTCCCTTTCCCACACTCTCCCTCCCACTTTCTCTCCCTCCCTCCCTCTCCCTCCCTCCCACTTTCTCTCTCTCCCTCCCTTCCCCTCTCTCTCTCTCTCCCTCCCTCCCTCCTTTCCCACACTCTCTCCCTCCCACTTTCTCTCCTCCCTCCTCTCCCTCCCTCCCACTTTCTCTCTCTCCCTCCCTTCCCCTCTCTCTCTCTCTCCCTCCCTCCTCCCTCTCTCTCTGTGATAAAGCATAGATAAAATAGAAATGATGCCATAGTCTAGATAAAATCCTGTAGATTTTATATACTTTCATGTACCGAATCCAGATCCGTAAAGCAGGTTTCTTGCTATCATTTATTTTTAAATCAAACACATCAATAGTGCTTAGAGATGGGAGATGCCCTTCTAATACCCTTTAATACTAAATTGTGGAGAATTCCAGCCTGTAGATTCAGCAACACAACCAACGAATGCCTTGGGATGTCTCCCTCCCTCCCTCCCTCTCTCTCTGTGATAAAGCATAGATAAAATAGAAATGATGCCATAGTCTAGATAAAATCCTGTAGATTTTATATACTTTCATGTACCGAATCCAGATGCGTAAAGCAGGTTTCTTGCTATCATTTATTTTTTAAATCAAACACATCAGTAGTGCTTAGAGATGGGAGATGCCCTTCTAATACCCTTTAATACTAACTGTGGAGAATTTCCAGCCTGTAGATTCAGCAACACAACCAACGAATGCCTTGGGATGTCTTCCCCTTTTTCCTGGTATTATTTGGAAATCTTGGATTACAACTCACAGATTTCTTAGCCAATGTGACAAACGGATATTTATATTCGACAGTTATTGTCTAACAGTTCCAGAGGGCGTGAAATTGAGAAATCTATCCTAGTAAGTAGAATGCTCTCGGAGCCAATTTGATTTACTATACTATTAGAAGTAACTAATAAAGGAGAATATTTGTAAGGGTTGAAATGAGAGGTCCTTGGTGGTCTCTGAACTTGCTTGTTTTCTCGCAGCTGTTTCATTACTGAAACTACATAATATCATCAGTGCTACTGTAGTGTTATCTAGTTTGGGTAATTTAATGTCTGCAACAAAACAATCAAGTTCAGATAGCACCAAGGATCTCTCATTGGACAATATTGTCAGGTTTATGCATCTTTTCTTGGGGGAAAAAAAACCATCCCATTTCGGTTCAATGACATTTATACTCCCAAGGAAACATCTGCAAGATTTACATCCTTATGGAGGGGAGATCTAGATTCCAGTTCTAAGATTGTGATGAGGCTTAAACGAGGCTCTGAAATGATTTTTTAGAGGTTTAGAAGTAAAGAATTCCAGGGGGATGGAAAAGTAGACATTAGGAAGAAGGTGTGACTCTGTGGGCACAATGTGGAATTGTAGAGGTTGATACATATATGGGGTATTCCAAAGGGATATCTTTGCTTGGTCATGCCTCTAATCCCATTATTTCCTATATTGTATATGGCGTGTGTGTCAAATCTTTGTGCCATTTTTGCTCCCTAGGAGGGAAAAAAATGGACGAGGCTTTTTATTTTGCCCTGATTTGCTCACAGGAACGAGGAATCTATCCCATTGCAGCACAAGGATGCAAAATGTTGATTGAATGATTGATTGATTGTTTATTTGTTCATAAACCCAAAGCAGGAATCGCAGCTCCATTTGACTGCTCTCGCACCTTGGGGGTTACCGTATGTCTTAAAATCCACCCTGCCACTGAATGAAATTTTTAGAAAGGGGATTAGTCCCTTGGTCCAATTAAGTCCTTTTCCTTTGTCTCTTCCATGATGTCCACCACGAAAGCCATGTGTGCATTGGAATGTCTGGGCCTGAGGCTGCCATCACGTAGGTTGATTTCCCCACTTAGACTTGTGCATGCAGATCAGGGAGCAGCTGAGTCCAGAAAGTGCTTTTGACAGATTTCCCTTTGCCTCTTTGTGCATTTCAGAAGCTGAATTGGTACGTGCAGTTTCACAGCCCTGCGATAAAATGACACGAGACGTGGGCTTGGATGATGAGCTTCCAGACTGGGCTGGAGCCAAGGAATTCTACCAGAAATACGACCCCAAGGATGTTATTGGCAGGTGAGGCTAGAAGGGAAAAAGGACCTGATGCAACAGAACGGCTTGGAGGGGTCGAAATACCTCAGTTTATTTTTCCTCGCTGGGAGACATTAGCGTTTCTGAAAAATTGATTTTTCTGCACATCATTTGCTCATTCCACTCGCAGAGGAGTAAGCAGTGTGGTCCGGCGATGTATACACAAGCAGACGGGACAGGAGTTTGCAGTGAAGATTATTGAGGTAACCCCGGAGCGCATGACTCCCCAGCAGCTGGAAGAAGTCCGTTTGTCGACCAGCAAAGAGATTGCCATCCTGCACCAGGTCTCCGGTCACCCTTTTATTAGTGAGTATGGCTGTCCCATCTGCATTCTCTCAGCACCTCTCTCTCTATTGCAAATTTATTTGAATTATTTGCTTTTTAATCCTGCCTTTTATTACTTTATAGGTAATGAAAAGTGATAAGGTGCATAATACAGGTAGTCCTCGACTTACAACAGTTCATTTAGTGACTGTTCGAAGTTACAAAGGGCCCTGAAACAAGTGACTTATGACAATTTTTCGCATTTATGACTGCTGTAACCTCCCCACGGTCATGTGATCAAAATTCAGATGTTTGACAACTGATTCATATTTATGACGGTTGCAATGTCCTGGGGTCACGTAATCACCTTTTGCAATCTTCCGACAAGCAAGGGTCAATGAGAAAGCCAGGTTCACTTAACAACCGGGTTACTGACTTAACAACTGCAATGATTCGCTTAACAACCGTGACAAGAAAGGTGGTAAAATGGGGCAAAATTCACTTAAGAAATATCTCACTTATAAAAATAGATTTTGGACTCGGTAGCAGTTGTAAGTCGAGGACTGTCTGTACTCCTTACACCTTCTATTTTCCCAACAACAATCCTGTGAGGTGGGTAGGGCTGAGAGAGAATGGCTGGCCCAAAGTCACCCAACCAGCATTCGTGCCGAAGAGAGGACTAGAGCTCAGTCTTCTGGTGATTGGCCCAAAATAACCCAACAGGCTTGTAAAGAGATCATGTAAGCAGTCATAAAATCAAATCAGGTCACATGGTTACCTGCTTAATGACCGCAATGGCTTGCAACCAAAATTCTGGGCTCAATTGCATGAGCTGTCTTTATATTCTGCCATTAGATACAAGTGCCATTTTATAAACACTGAAGCAATTATGACGTAAGTGACAATTCTTCTTTTTCTTCAGTAACTCTTATAGATTCCTATGAGACATCCACCTTCATGTTCCTAGTCTTTGATTTGTAAGTAACAAACGTTTGAAAATGGGTGGGAAATAAAATGATATGCTGGCTGAGGAATTCTGGGAGTTGAAGTCCACACATCTTAAAGCTGCCAGTATAACCCTACATTAAATTTTATTTATTTATTTATTTATTTATTTATTCATTCATTCATTCATTCATTCATTCATTCATTCATTCATTCATTTATTGGTTCGATTTATATGCCGCCCTTCTCCGGAGACTCAGGGCGGCTTACAATGTGTTAAGCAATAGCCTTCACACTTTTGTATATACCTGCTTAGTAGGGCTTTCGGCCCCCGAATTATGAGAGAGAGAGCCATACACTAAATAAAATAAACAAATAAATACAAGAAAGGGAGCATTCTGCTTTCAGGCTCTAATTTTCCTTGCAGAATGAGACGTGGCGAGCTTTTTGACTACCTTACAGAGAAAGTAACCATCAGTGAAAAGGAGACCAGGTAAACTGAAGGTCTACTTTTGGGCCTAGGATAAGTGGAAAGTTCTTAACACATAACTTAATGAGCCCTCCTCCTTGCTATTTTGTGGAGGGCTCCAAGACCTGGTCCTTAACAACAAGGTCCTGACCTCCATGTTGCCTTCTTTCAGATGCATCATGCGAGCCCTCCTGGAGGCCGTGAGCTACCTTCATGAGAACCACATCGTCCATCGAGACCTCAAACCGGAGAACATCCTCATGAACGATGATCTCAGCATCAAACTGTCTGATTTCGGCTTCTCCTGCCATTTGGAGCCGGGAGAGAAACTGCGAGGTGAGGCGGGGAGTGGGGGGGTCCCATCCAGTGGCGTATTTTTGGGGAGGTGGAGACAGTGGAAGGAGGCCTTTCCAACTGCCCCATGGAGCAGTTTTCTGTTAAGCCACAGGGCAGGCAGGAAAGCTCAGCTTCTGTGGGCGTCTTTTCATAGGCTATTCAATCCACCTTTCTTGTTCTGAAAAGATCTCCCATTTGGCATTTCTCTGAAGTTCTCTGAATCTGTGACTGTTTCCCTACAGAGTTATGTGGTACCCCGGGCTATCTGGCACCTGAAATATTGAAATGTTCCATGGACGAGACTCACCCTGGTTATGGGAAGGAGGTGGACCTGTAAGTTATACTTAGGGAATGGGATGGGGTCAGGGAACCTTCCTCAGACATCCTGGATTATGATTGTTCTCACCTGCCAGCCAAAGTGGAGGCATTCGAAAATAATCTCCTACCTTTGAGGTCCTTGGTGCTCTCTGAGCTTGGTTATTTTCTTGCAGACATCTTATTACCCAACAAAGTGACATCATCAGTGCTAGAAGGGAGTGGAATTTGCTCTATGTTTGTTTACCAGTGACTTGCCCTGTCAGGGTTGTTGGGAATGTTTTTGATGGTTCCTTGATTAGGCTGTTCTTTACTGTTCGATTGTACTGGTGATTAGTTGGATAATGAAACATCTGCAAGGAAACAACCAAGCTCAGAGAGCACCAAGGACTCCACAGTTCAACCCTGAGATACAAATATTCTCTACTATTAATCTCCTTCCTTGCAGCTGGGCCTGTGGCGTCATCTTTTTCACCCTCCTGGCTGGCTCTCCCCCTTTCTGGCACCGCAAGCAGATGTTGATGCTTCGGATGATCATGGAAGGCAGATATCACTTTGGTTCTCCAGAGTGGGACGACCGATCGGACACAGTCAAGGATTTGGTAAGAAGGCAGCAGCGTCCTGGTCTCATGCGGTAACGGAGAGAAATGAAAAGGCTGCAGTTCTTCCAAGTGGGTGCTTGTTAAACTTGAGGAGACTTTACCATCCCAAACTCTACAGGAGGGATCCCCAATCTGTGGGCCATGGCCCACTACCAGGCCGTGGCCTGTTGGCGACTGGGCTGCGTGAGTGGATAACCAGTTAACCAAACCCCTCCCACTCGCGCTGCAGTGAGCGTCACACTGGCAATAGTGTCGTGGTGAGCCTCGCACACGCATGCACACATTCATGCTTCTGTTTGCGTGATCTTGCAGCCCCATTCATATGGTCTTGCGCTGCCTTGCCCCTGGGCCACCAACCCAGAAAGGTTGGAGAACTCTTCTTTATAGGGTAATCCTCGACTTGTAACTGGTCACTTAGTGACGTTTTGAAGTTACGATGGACCCCCAAAGGTATTTAGATTCCGATTCAGAAGTACCAAGGCACTTGGCAACCAGCTGCATTAATGGCCATTTGCATTGGCCCAAGGTCACCTGACCACACTTTTATGACGTTTTTGCCAAAACCCAGCATTTACTTCTAGTTTTTGTCAAAAATGGACATCGGTTTGCTTTACAACTATCGTGGTTGCTGTAGAACTGCAAAAATGTCATAAAAAGGAGCTTAGTCATGCAGTGACCCACTTTATGACTGTCACGACTTATGACTGTAATGGGCTGGCTTTATTTTGGTCATAAATTGAGGACTATATATTTTTTGTAGCTCATGCTGGCCTGCCTAGCCTGATAGACAGAATGGGGGCGGGCTTGGGGGGGTGGGAAAATCATATCAATACTTGTTTAAATCATCACGTTGCTTCTCAGTTCCTCCCTTTCCATGTCATTATGCATCAGCAGGCTTCTCTTCCCAGAATGCTTCTTAGGAACCCCCTCCCCTTTTTTTTCCTTTGGCAGATTTGCCGACTGTTGAAAGTAGATCCCATCGAAAGGTTGAGCGCTGAGGAGGCACTGCAGCACCCTTTTTTCCAGCGCTACGGAAGGGAGCAGCGACATTTCAGTCCCTTCCATAAATTCAGGGTAAGTGGCATATTATTATTTCATTTAATTACAAATAAAATAAAAATAAAATATGTATTCATTTAAGTCATTCTTCATTCCTAAAAGGGTATTTTGTATTGATTACAAAACAGATATTTTTGAGCGTTCCAAAAGCACAATAAAATGGTTTTGGGTCAAAGTTAAAGCCAAACATGACTTCTTTTGAGGATGCCTGCTTTTAACACTTCTGGGTGTAGGAGACATTTCAAAATGGCTTACTTCATGAGGCTTTTTTTTTTAAAGTTGGGTGGCTGGGGGAATTCTGGGAGTTGGAAGTCCACACCTCTTAAAAGGTCACATGCCTGCGCACATGCGCCAGTCCCTCCCACAAAATCATCCCCTCTGGAGCATCCCCTGCTCCAGCCTGCCAACCTGGAAAGGTTGGGGAACTATGTTCAATCTAGACCCCCCTCCCTTTTTTAAAAAATGTTAAAAGTACATGCTTTGGATGCAGAAAGTTCCAGATCCAGTGCTTGGCATCTCTCTAAAGCAATGTTTCTCAACCTCAGCAAAGTTGAAGGTGTATGTATGCTGGCTGGGGAATTATGGGACTTGAAGTCCACACGTCTCCAGCTTGCTGAGAATCTCTACAGAAGAGCGAAGCCTCTACGAATACCCTGAAGCACTACAAGTAATCCTACGACCACAATTGAGCCCAAAACATCTGTTGCTGACATAGTTGTTAAGTGAATTTTGCCCCATTTTAAAACCTTTTAAAAGCCAGGTGTCTTGTTCAGCAAATCACTGCAGTTGTTCAATCAGTAACCCGGTTGTTAAGTGAATCGGGCTTCCGTGTAGACTTTGCTTGCCAGAAGGTCACAAAAGCGGATCACGTGATCCCAGGACACTGCAACGGTCATAAATATGAACCAGTTGCCAAGAGTCCAAATTTTGATCACATGACCTTGGGGAAGTTGCAATGGTCATTAAGTGTGAAAAACTATCCTAAGTCACTTTTTTCCCAGTGATGATGTAATTTCAGAGGGGCGCTAAATGAACTGTTTTAAGCTGAGGACTTTCTGTACTGCAAGTCAGCACTGACACTGCTGCCCTTGGTGGATCCTTGGCCTCTCTGTCTGTGATCTTTTGTGATCTTATGGGAGGAGATGCCTTTTCCAAGATAATGCTTGCTTATGAACCTCCTTGCTGCCTTGTGGCCTGTTGTGACTTCTTCCTCTTTTGCTCCATGGCAGGTCATCGTGTGGGCAGTGCGGGCTTCTATCCGCATCTACTCCAGCTACCGTCGGGTGCGCCCAGTCACGAAGGAGCAGCTGCTGTGTGACCCCTATGCCCTCAAGGGGGTGCGCAAGCTGATTGACGCTTGTGCCTTCCGAATCTACGGCCACTGGGTCAAGAAGGGCGAGCAACAAAACCGGGCTGCCCTCTTTGAAAATGTCCCAAAGGCCATTCAGGTGGCCTTGATGAACACAGAAGGAGAGGAGGCCCCGTCCTCGGCTGTGGAAGATCCTCTCTTCCAGAAAGACGTCCTCTAGCCCCTGTGAAACAGGAGGGGTGAGGGATGTTGAGGGGGCAGGGGGGTTACACAGAACTGAACCTCATCCTTGCCCCATTGGGAGAGGACAGCCAATGGTTAGAGTCCTCCTTTGGGTTCCTTGTGCACGGAAGAGACTGACTTTCTAGGGAACAAGAACTTGGGGAACCTTGAATTTTGGGCTGATGGGACATGATTCCCTGATTATACCTGGAAGGTTGTTCTGGATTTGGGTAGGGTTGTTATCACATTAATGGTGTTGGTCCAAAGGGAGGGACTGGGGAGAGCAATGTGCTTCTTCTGCAAGACCGGGAGCCCCTGATGTAGCCCTTTGCGCAGTAAAGGGGTCTCATCTGTCACTGGAGTCCCTTTTGTTGAGGGAACAATCTGTGTCTTTAGATTTGGTCAGTATTGGAGATCAGGTGTGGGATCAGGTTTTGCATCTCTCCTCCTTGCTGTAATCAAGTAGTGGACGTGGCTTTTTTGCTGAACTGCTTGTTGTTGTTCTCTGCCATCCCCCACCTTATGATTGTCCAAACTATAATAAAAGTGAAATGAGATCAAAACTGTCTTCAGACTTGGACTTCCTTTTCATTGCATGATTTGGAGGAGGAATTCATAATAATTTCTGCTGAAACAGGAGCCCTGCCAGACATACTCATTTACCTCATCGTGGTCTGCTCCAGGTCCCAGAAATTCCCAAGTGCTGTGCCCAAAGTGGAGAGGGAATGATGCAGCTGGAATCTGGCATCTCTCAGGAAAAAATGTTTAGGCCACAATGACAGAGTGGATGGAATATAGAATATAGGCTGGGCTGGGCTGGGCTGGGCTGGGCTGGGCTGGACTGGACGACTAGACTAGATTAGAATAACAGAGTTGGAAGGGACCTTGGAGGTCTTCTAGTCCAACCCCCTGCTTAGGCAGGAAACCCTATAGCATTTCAGACAAATGGTTATCCAATCTCTTCTTAAAGACTTCCAGTATTGGAGCATTCACAATTTCTGGAGGCAACTTGTTCCGCTGATTAATCTGTCAGGAAGTTTCTCCTTAGTTCTAGGTTGCTTCTCTCCTTGATTAATTTCCACCCATTGCTTCTTGTCCTGCCCTCAGGTGCTTTGGAGAATAGCTTGATTCCCTCTTCTCTGTGGCAGTCCTTGAACTGGGCTGAGATGAGGTAAGGTTTGCCAAAAACAACCATACCCAAGTTCATTGGAGTCTAGTTGGCCCAGCCATATTCCAGGCAAAACTTCTAATGAAAGAAATATTTCTTTTTGCCCAGCCATGTTACATTATGTTGGCCAGGAGTGCTTAGCCTAAGGCACCAGGCTCCCCAGAACCATTCCAAAACCTGAACGTATTTATACCCTGCCTATCTTGTGCAACTCAAGGAAGCATAGATAATGCTCTCACTTCCCGTTTCTTTCACAAGAACCACACTATAAGGTAGGTTGGGCTAAGAGTGTGTGCCACCCAAAGCCTCCTTTCCTCCCTGACAGGAGATTAGAATTCAAGATCTCCTGATTTCTAGTCCAGCACTTTACAGGTAGTCCTTGATTTACGATCAGAGTTGAGCCCACAATTTACGTTGTGAAGAGAGAAATTTGCTAAGTGAGTTTTACTCCATTTTACAACTTTTCTTGCCATATTTGTTAACTGAATCATTGCAGGGGTTAAATTAGTAATACGGTTGTTAAGTGAATGTGGATTCTCCATTGACTTTGTTTGTCAGAAGGCTGCACAAGGGGATCATGTGACCCTGGGACACTGCAACTCTCATAAATGTGAGTCATTTGCCTAGCATCCGAATATAAATCACATGGCCATGGGGATGCTGCAATGGTCACAAATGTGAAAAATTGTCGTAAGTCACTTTTTTCAATGTTGTAATTTCGCACAGTCACTGAATGAACTGTTGTAAGTCGAGGACTACCTGTACACCACTACACCAAACTGACACTCTATTTTTTTCTCTCTAATTAAATATGAGAACTAATCATATTGAAATGACTTGGTTAATTAGGTTTCATTAAATCCTTAAAAAGTGTTCCTCAACTTACAACCCTTCATTTATTGACCATTCAAAGGCACTGAAAAAAGTGATTTTGACCAGTTTCACACTTACGACCATTGCAGCATCCTCAGTTACGTGATCAAAATTCAGACACTTGCCAACCGGCATGTATTTTTGACAGTTGCAACATCCCGGGGTCATATGATCACCATTTGTAACCTTCCCAGCTGGCTTCCGGCAAGCAAAGCCAAGGGGGGTGGGAGGAGAGGGGGAGAGCCAGATTTGCTTAATGACTGGCAAAAAAGGATATAAAATGGGGCAAAACTCACTCTATTTATTTTATTTTTTCTTAATTATATTTATATACTGCCCTTCTCCCGAAGGACTTGGCGGTGAACAGCCAAGATCAAATACATAAATATAAAAATTAAAAACAATTTAAAACCAGATTAAATACTTTGGCCCATAATTAAAAACATTCCATTAAAATCCAATTTAAAATTTAAAACCGTTAAAATTAGCCTAGCCCGGCTTGCTGGAATAACAAAATCTTCAGGGCACGGTGGAAGGTGCGCAAGTCCGGGATCCTCCATACCTCCGGGGGCAGCTCGTTCCAAAGGGCAGGAGCCCCCACTGAGAAGGCTCTCCCCCGGGGGGTCGCCAGTCGACATTGTCTGACCGACAGCATCCCGAGGAGCCCCACCCTGTGGGAGCGTACTGGCTGGTGGGGGGCTGTCGGTAGCAGAAGGCAGTCCCGTAAGTACCGAGGTCCTAAGCCATGGAGCACTTTAAAGATGTTAATCAACACCTTGAATCGCACCCGGAAGACCACTGGGAGCCAATACAGCTCGCGCAGGAGTTACATGGGAGCGCCCTGCCGCTCCCATAATCACCCACGCGGCCGCATTTTGGATGAGCTGGAGCCTCTGGATGCTCTTCAAGGGGAGCCCCATGTAGAGAGCATTGCAGTAGTCCAGTCGGGAAGTGATGAGGGCATGAGTGACCGTGCGCAGGGAGTCCCGATCCAGAAAGGGACGCAACTGGCGGATCAGGCGAACCTGATAAAAAGCCCCCCTGGCCACGGCCATCATATGCTCTTCTAAAGACAGCCATGCGTCCAGGATACCCAAGTTGTGAGCCCTCTCTGTGAGAACCAATGACTCGCCCCTAATAGCCAGCAATGGCACCAGCTGGCTATATCGGGATGCCGGAAGCCACAGCCACTCAGTCTTGGAGGGGTTGAGTCGGAGACTGTTTCTCCCCATCCAGACCCGCACGGCCTCCAGGCACCGGGACATCACTTTGAGGGCATCATTGGGGTGGTCTGGGGTGGAGATGTACAGCTGAGTGTCATCAGCGTACTGATGAAACTGCACCCCAAAACCACAGATGATCTCACCCAGCAGCTTCACATAAATGTTGAACAGAAGAGGCGAGAGGATCGACCCCTGCGGCACCCCACATATAAGGCGCCTCGAGGACAACCTCTGCCCCCTGCCAACACAGACTGCGATGGGTCAGAGAGAAAGGAGGAGAACCACCGTAATACAGTGCCCCCAACCCCCAGCCCCTCCAGCCGGAGTAGCATGATACTGCTGTGCTTAGCAATAGAAATTTTGGGCTCAATTATGGACGTAAACATATGACTACCTGTATTCAGTCTCAGATTGGCCTTTGACCTTGATAATGCAACTATTTTTGAGCTAGAAAAAAACAATGAACAGTAGACAATATTTTAACTACACTTTAATATCATAACATCATCTGCTTTATGCAACAGTTCCTGCTATGAGTATATGACCTTACCATCTCAGAAGAGATTTTCTGTAAAGCCTTATCACATTTTCAAAAGCCTTTTAGAAATCCATCTGCTCCCCATATTTTAACTGCCATTCCCTGTGTGTTCTCTTGCTCTTTCCGGGACCCCTTTCTGCAGAAGCCCCGGAAATGAAGAAACAACCCTGGGACAGGAAATGGGCCTCTTGCACTCCAACCTTTCTAGTCTGTTTACTTCTTCTTGCCCTTGGCAACCCCCTTGTTAGCAGCAGAACCTTTCTCCAGCTGGATCAGCTTGGCGTTAAACTGGTCCTCTGTGACTTTTAGACGCTGGTCGATGGAAAGGCGCAGCTGGGTTAACTCCTGGTTGAGTTGTGAGACGATGAAGTCCCTCAGGGCAGCCGTGGGACCTATAAATGAGTGAAGCAGAGTGAATTGTAATTCTAACAAAGAGCCCTAGTGGCGCAGTGGTTAGAATGCAGTCTTGCAGGCTGCCAACTGCCAGGAATTCGATCCTGACCAGCTCAAGGTTGATTCAGCCTTCCATCCTTACGAGGTCGATAAAATGAGGACTCAGATTGTTGGGGCAATATTCTGACTTTGTAAACTGCTTAGTCAGGACTATAAAGCACCATGAAATGATATGCAAGTGCTATTCCTATTGCTAATAAGCAACCCAAGAGAAGCACTGCCATCAGCCACTCGGGCTTCTGGTCCCACACTGCCAAAAATCATGTATTACTTAGCATTTATAATTTATAAGATAGAGAACTATTATCTTCCTCCTGAGGCTAAAAGAGAATGGCTATTAATGGCAAAGGGACAATCTAGAGAGCTGTGGATTGTTCGCCTCTGAAACCCCTACACCATACCCTGTGCTTCTGAAGCCCTCCACTTACTTTCTGCAGGGCCCCCAGCTTCCTCCAATTCCTCTTGCAAAGGAGACAGTCCTGCTTCTGTACTCTCAACCATAGCTTCTGTAGAAATGAAAAAGACGCTAAATCTTTTGGCAGCCCTGGAAGAAAAGGGGCGATCAGATAATGCTCTCTTTATTTTTAATCCCATTATTTTATATGATTGGTTGATGTAAGCTAACTCATTTTAGATAAGCCAAACTTGGACGGGAGGGTTATTAGGAAGTTTTGGTCCCTTCGATGTCTTGCGAATTTTGCTCCTGAAAGGAAGAAAGACCACAATCACAGCATACCCACCTTGCACACCCAAGGTTCAAGATTCCTTCCCAAGTGAACGGATCTCACTGATGGAGTTGAGAAAGAGACCATCTCCAATCAGAAAGCCTCTTTCAGGAAGAAGAGAACTCAAATCTAGACTGGCCAATGGCTTAAGCCCACGTCATGCAACTTTATATGTTTCCAGATCCAACCCATTGGGGGATATGTATTGCTTAGGTGTTTTTCAATCTTGGCAGCTTGAAGATGGGTGGACCAAGTCCCAGAAAGCTATGCCTGATGGTGAATTCTGGGAATTGAAGTCCACCAGTTTTCAAGTTGAAAAACACTATAGTTTATCTATCTTCCCCACTGTTGTTGCCTAGACTACAATGCTCAGTTGCTGAGTTGACTGAGAAGGTTCGGTAAACCAGCCACATCTGGAGGGCATCAGATGGGGGGGAAGGGGGAGAAGCTGTCTTAAGCCATCTTTCCAATGTGATTATCACTAGCTTTAGCTCTATTTGACCTGGGAGGAAGGTTTCCCATCCTGCTCCATTCTTTTTTTTCATCCTCCCAACTTAAAAAAGGAATGGATCAATGTACAGTAGACCTCAAAAGTGAGTTACAAAAGAATCCCAGCCCACCTCAACACTCACCTTCTCCTTTGGGTTCTGGTTCAGGCATCCCAACATAAGTGAATGAGATGTCCAGCCGCACCTATTGATTTAAAGCACAATCAGGGATGTTAAGCCCAGAGAGGTGAACTAATATTTGGATTTCATCTTCTTGAACCTCTATGTTTGGGATGCTCCCTTCATAAAGATGCTGCTCCATTTCGTGGCAACAAAATTCTCAGGAGTAGTCAAACGATGTCAGAGATCACATTTTGTAATTGGGCTGTTTTCCAGAGGGATGTTCTTCTTTTCCCATTGCAAGAAAATGGCAAGAGAACACCGGCCCTTCCCTAGAACTGCTTGGGCCAAAGGAAATCAGCCTTACCTGTGGGGTGAAAGCGTATTTGTAAAGTTTATAGTGACGGAAGTAAGTGTTAATCATGTAGTCGCTTAGGAGCACCAGCTGGTCCTGATTGAAGAGATCGATGCTGAAGGGGGGTCTCTGGAAAGAGAGAAAGAAGGAAAGGAGCCATAGAACCACTGCAAGGAGAGGAGAGGGGAGGAAGGCTCTCTGCAGGGAAGCTTCACTGAAAGCAAGCCACAGGTAGTCCTCAACTTATGACCATGATTGAACTCCAGATTTCTGTTGTTAGATGAGACAATGGTTAAGTGAATTTTGCCCCATTTTACGATCTTCCTTGCCAGAGGTTAAGGGAATCACTGCAGTTGTTAAGTTAGTAACACGATTGTTAAGTGAATCTGACTTCCCCCTTGACTTTGCTGGTCAGAAGATTGCAAAAGGTAATCACATGACCTAGGGACACTGCAACCGTCATAAATAGAAGTCAATTGCTAAGCTTTTGAATTTTGATCACGTGACCGTAGGGATGCTGCAACGGTTGTACATGTGAAAAATTGTCATAAATCACTTTTTTCACTGCAATTTGAATGGTCACTAAATGAACTGTTGTAAGTTGAGGACTACTTGTATGTGGATAAGGCAACATAAATCCACTTTTGGCTTGCCTGGCATTCACACACTCACCCGAATGGAGTGGCAGAACATCAGTTCGGAGAAATATTTATAGCATTCCTCCACATTGGGCAGTGGTGTTTCTACACAAAAATAACATGGTAGGAATAAGCAAAAGATCCACTTTAGCCTCTTTCCTTTCCTCCCCATCCTTCTTTCTGGTTCTAGCCTCACCCTGCTGCCCCGTTCCTCCATATCACCATCTCTGGTGGAGGCCTTTTTCCTTCCACTTCTAGGACTGGCTGCTCTTACTCACAGAGACATTTTCTCATGATGTATCCCCACATAACATCAAAAGGCAAACACAGCACATGGGACTGGCGGTACTATAGCCAGCCTAAGACAAACAGGGTCAGGGCAAACTGCAGAAACGTAATGTGATCTGGACATCTGAAACAACTATTATTTTCTCCCTTATCTCTTGCACAGCCTATTTCACTAATAAAACTCTTAAGTAAATAACGGAATAAGTTGCTTAGAGCTTTGGGACTGAAGCCGTGTGAAAGAGCCCAAATACGCAAGTAACTAAATAAATACAGTTTTCATCTTCTTCCCTCATGTTTCTCCACTCCTACAACCTTCCTTTTTTCGGTCTTTCTCAACATCCAGTTCCTTACCCACACAGGCCTCGTGCACATCCCTCACAATTGAGAAGAAAGCAGAGGTTTGTTCCCGGTTGAAGCTCTGCTCCCGGCTGAACTGGATGGTGTAGAAGTACAAATCTAACAAGATAGCAGAGCGAGGATTTGATTCAAAATCCTTCAGATCAAAGAGGTCAGAGAGGAGCCTGCAGAAAATAGGGGAAATTGAGGGGAAATTGACAGCTTGAACATTCACACCCATTTACCAGCTATTTTCATTACTTGATAATAACCTTTTAAAAAAGTTTCTATGTTTATGGCAAGGCTGGTAGATTTATTTGGTTAGAACTGGCATAATTTCATCTTGGTTTCTTCTGAGTTTAATTGAACCCAATTTAAAATCTCACTGCCACTACTCCAAAATTATGTGTACTTTTTATAGTGTGATTATCTCCTCTGTTAATGAAGGAAGGGAGATAAATCTGTTTATTGCACCACATTATGCTGGGATTCTCAAAAAATCTTTTTTGCAAGATGCTTCATGCTTTGCAACTATGCATCTTATTGTATATAAATACACTTCTGGGTTGGGCTATAGATGAAAAATGGTTTTATTAGTCGCTAGACTGGCAATGAATTTATTGAGATCTTCATTCTATGCATTTCTCATGTTTTGTTCACAAAAGAGATTAAGAAAGCCAGTCATGAAATGTTTCATAATCTTAAACTTGAATCACCTTTTCAGTTCATCAGTTGTTCCAGCATTATTGATGAGGTCCATGGAATGAACATCTAAATATTTCCTGAAACATCACAAAAAAGAAAAGAGAAAAACTAAGAATTGCTAATGTAACACAATTTTTTTTGTTTCTAGCAGTGTGATCTTATACAGGTTTTTTTGAAAATAAGGTCCAAATATGGTAAGTTTAAAGATGCTTACAGTGGATAAAGGATGTAGCCTAGTCAGCCAGAAATTCAATGAACCTCTCTCCATGGATCAACATGCAACTGTCTCTTCTGAATCTCAAGAATGAAAAGCTACTTACCACATACATATTTTTGCCTTATGTGGCTTGGGCTGAAAGAAAAAGATAAGTTTTAGATACATTTTCTGATAGTGTGATGTTTAGTCCATAAGGTCAATTCATTGTTTACTAAAAGCATCAGCAGTACTAATAGCTACATTTTATTGGTAGAACTCTAGATTTAATTCACACACTCATTATGGCCTATAAACCATGTTTCATTCGATAAACATTTATCATTTGATAGATTGCAATAAAGTATTGTCTACTATAACCGTAAACTTATATGTATCTTCACCAGGGTGGATTTGATTTAAATCGAGTTGATTTAAATCACAATTTAAATCATGATTTAAATCACTAGTAAAAAGGCTTGATTTAAATCAACTCGATTTAAATCATAATTTTTAAAGAGAAACTGTCATCTCTGCTACTCCCTTGACCCACTGTTGACTCACCGATAGTCCCAGTGTTGCAGAATATACAGCCTCATGCTACATAACTAAGCTCCATTTCATGCTGAATAAACTAAATTATTTATGTATTTTAAATAGAAAACTATCTTACGATAGATTTTTACCCCAAAAGTTTTTCATTAAAATAAATTCGATAAAAATCAAAAAAATCCAATTTAAATAAAAAAAATCTGATTTTTTTGATTTTTTTAAAAAAATCATTGATTTTTATCCATCCTGATCTTCACCTTTTGTAGTGATTAATTATACTTGCACATGTATCTCAAACCAGTGGTGGGTTACTATTAGTTTGCCCCGGATCAGGCAAACTGGTAGCAGTGGCAGCAGGAAGCTCTGCCCACTTGACAGGACGCTTCTGTGCATGCGCAGAAGCATCACACGCCTATGGGAGTGCGTGAGTGCCCACGAGCGAACCAGTAGTGATGGATTTTGAAACCCGTCCGTCTCAGACATCTACTAAGAAGCAGCCTGTGACTTGTAGCATTATGGTTTATTCAACAAGCCATAGTACAAAAAACTCCTATTTATGACTGTTACAGTGTCCTGGGGTCAAATGATCAACTTTTGTGACTTTCTGAGAAGCAAAATCAATGGGGAAGCCAGATTCTCTTAACAACTTTGTTACTAATTTAACAACTGCAGTGGTTCAGTTAACATCTGTGACAAGAAAGGTCATAAAATGGGGCAAAATCTATTTTACAAATCTCTCACTTAGCAACAGAAATTTTGGGCTCTATTGTGGTCATAAATCAAGGATTAGTTGTACTGTATTTCTTCACTGGATAATCCAATGGCTAAATCTTATTTAGTCAGGAGGAACCCACTGATAGCAAGGGTAATAAAACAATTTTCATTAATTTCAACCCTAATTATTTTATTTTAACTGTGGAATAAGCTAAAGATCAATTGACTCGAGTTTTGCCATTTTCACTTTAGCTCCTTCCCAGACATGTTTTTTCTATTCGTAACCAGCGGTTGCACGGCAGGCAGACGTTCAACAGGTGAAACTTCCCAGCGATTCTGGATCTGTGGAATGTGCATTTTTATCCCTCAAATGCCATAACATTCTCCGCCGAGGAAATAATTTATCCAAGATAGCAATTATAACTATTACTTTAATATTAATTTCACGTCTATTTTACCGGCTGGAGACTCTCCGGCCCCATTTCGGCTAGTTGGGCAGCGAGGCTTGGGGAAAAGCACGCGTTGCCATGGCAATCCCTGCTTCAGCCTCTCCGGGCTCCATCAGTAGCAGTGCAATCACGACGGGGTATACTAAGAAGGAGGCGGGACTAGCAAACGCTTCGCCAATCGCAGACATTTTCATTGGGGCGAAAGAAACGGGAGGACTTCCAATTGAGATAGAATATAATAACATAATAAAGTTACAAAAAACTCGGAATGGTTGCCAAGGAGAAAAAAACCATTTCTTTGTCTACCTTGCATAGAATTCATCTCTAACACTTGATAGTCAAATCGCCCCTTGCTACGCAGATGAGAAAACTTAATTCCCTCTCAAACAAAGTCCAATAGAACGGTTGTCTTGACATTTTCTATCTCTATCTCAATATCAATAGAAGGAAAGAGCCAATACGCCAGCGTAGCTATGGTAACACTATCTTTTCCCCCAACGTAGGCTCCAATCAGAGGGGACTTTTACCCAATCGCCTTCTTGTCCCGTCCCCTTCTTCCGACCAAGTGCGGAATAATAATCCCGCCTACTTTCCTACCGTCGTCGAAGAGGTGGAGCGTTGGTCGCCTAGCTAGCACGAGCGCCCGCGTCTGCGCACTGTGCTGAGCGCAGAGCGAGGCCGAAGACGTTGAGTTCCGTTGAGAGCGGAGGCGGAGATTGGGCCTCCGGGAGGAGAGTCGGACGAGCATGCGCAGTAGTTGCGCTGGCGTTGCTTGTCGGCAGCGTCGTAGCGAGCCGAGGGGTATGGAGGAAAGGGACGTCCGTGTGGGCCGGTGAGTGGTTGGGCAGCCTCTCCCTCACCGGGGGCTTTCCTTTCGCCCCCTCTCCTTTGCTACCTCTCCTCACTGAGGTCTCCCGCCTTGCCTAGCTTTCTGCAGACGGACCGTTTCTTCTTATACCGTATTTTAAAATACGCGTTGGGACTGAGACTGCAATTCGTAGCGGATACGGGGGCTTCTTTGGGGAAGTGTCACTCCTGGTGGAAGCAGGAAAGTTAGGAGAAAGGGCAGCCAATACTCAGGTTTTTTTCAGCTCTTTTAAGCAACCCAGATGTTGACAGTCCTTGGCTGTTTCTCTCCCCTTTTCCTCGCCCAAGCTGCCTTCCCCGTCTCTTACCTTTCTTCCAGTTTGGGTGTTTGTGTGTATACACATGTACCTATACATATATATGTGTCTATGTATATATATACACATATGTATTTATCCATATGTGTACGTGTGTACATATGTATGTATATGTATATGTATGTATGTATGTATGTATTTCTCTTTAGCCAGGTTCTTCCTATGTAAACCAAGAATTTTATGCAGTCCTAGTTCAATGAAATCACAATCCACTACTTTCTATGCTTTTTTCAGGCAGCCAGCAAGCACCCTGCTTCCCATTGGGAGACTAAGGAGACTAAGATAGATCTATTTCAGACTTTTCGGATCTATCTTAGTCTCCTTAGTCTCCCAATGGCAGCAGGGTGCTTGCTGGCTGCCTGAAAAAAGCCTAGAAAGTAATGGATTGTGATTTCACTGAACTAGGGCTGCATAAAAATCTTGGTTTACGTAGGAAGAACCTGGCTAAAGAGAAATACACATAAAGGCCTACGAAAAGAAAAGAAAACATATATATATATATATGTATGTATATATATGTATGTATGTCTTTGGTTATTCGGGTTTTCTCCTGCATAAAATTGGAAGTGTCTTGGCTTCTAGGAGCATGAAGCTGAAAACACCAGCCTGAAGATGACGAATGAGACTTCGTCGAAACGTCATCAAGACACTTCCACTTTTACGCGGGAGAAAACCCGAATAACCAGAGACCTAGATACAAACACCCGCGAAAACCTCAGAAAACATACACACACACACACATGTATGTGTGTGTGTGTGTGTATCTCAAATTTATATTTTGCTGATAAATAAAGCGACTGCTTGAGGGCTCCTGGATTGGAACTGAAAGGCTAAAGGGAGCAGAATCCCCCCTCCCACATATTGGGGTACACCAGGTGTCTTGATAGAAAAGCACTTTATATATATAAAGTGTTTTTCTATCGAGACACCTGATCTACCCCAGCATGTGATGTGGGAGGGAGCATACTGCATCCCTCTAGTTTTTCATCTCCAATCCAGGAGCCCTCAAGCAGTCACATTCACGACAAACCATTTTATACCAAATTTCTATTTTGGTGATAAAGAATAAAGGGAGACATATATATATATATATATATATGTCTTTTTCTTTTTCGTAGGCTTTTATGTGCATATTATGTGCATATTATGTGCATAACCTGGCTAGAAAGAATATGCATATATACATATACATACATACATACACACACAAACATATACATATATATATACACACGCACACGGTATGTGTGTATATATTCACACACACACATACATACATACACATACATACATACACTGCCCCTCTACCCTACAAGGTGATTTTGGGCTGCAATTTCCCTTATTCCTTCTCTTTTCACTCTTCCCAGTTTTGTACTTCATCCTTACAATATTTAATAGCACCCACCCACCTGCTCGTATTTTTAAAAAAACACAGAATGGAGCAGGTTTGTGCTTAAAAAAAAACGCCATGCATTTTAAAAAATTTAATGCAATTTTAATGCAGTTTTTAATTTATCGCTTTAGTACTGGTGGAATGCTCCTCCCCCCTCCATGAAATTTGACTGGTCTCAATCCTGACAGCCTTCGGAAAGGCTTTGAAAATCTGATTGATGGACCAGAATGTGAGATTTGTTGGTGGACCCCAGCATTGTTGTTTTGTTCTTATTGATTTTGGGTTGTTTTGTTATTAAGGCCTTTGAAATTGTTTTTATTGATGTATGCTGCCTAAAGTTGCAAATTGGGTGCCCAAATCAATTCTAAAAATAAAATATGTTGCTACAGTCCCTGATTTTGTTCATGTTCTCCATCAAAAGTTCTGTGATGGGGCTTGTTTATCCCTCTTCTGGTCAGGTTTAGGCCAGTGATTTATTTGTTTATTTTATTTACTACATTTAGAAATCATCCATGTCCCTCACATATAAATATAATATAAGGTAGATTAAAACAAGAATAAAATATTTAAAATTCAGAATTAAAAGATTGAGGAAGGCTTTTAGACATTATATTCATTAAATATCATTCTAGGCTGCTTTTGGAGTAATTTCAACTTTTTCTCTTTTTTAGCTGAACAGCTGCCTCTTTGGCTAACTGCCTGATTCTTGGGTTCAGACCCATTGCTGAAAGTCACCATGTCAGGAGCTGGAAGCAAGCGGGCTGCTGGAGATGGAGGAGCAGGGCCTCCTGAGAAAAAATCCAACCGGGAGGAGAAGACCACTACAACGCTTATTGAACCAATCCGGCTTGGAGGCATCTCTTCCACGGTGAGGGATTTGGGGATTGAGTGCGGAGTGATAAAATCTGTGGCAGTTTATTTTAGAATCCAGCATTAGGAAGAAATATTGAGGACACTTGCACATAAAGACATAGCCCGTATTTGTAAAATGGGAATTCAGGATATTAGGAAATTGCAAATAAATAAATAAATAATAATTATAGAGCAAGGCGAGAAAAACCCTTTGCCTGAAAACCGACATAGGCCCAACTATTTTAGTAGCATCTAAACTATTGGAATACCAATAGTTAAAAGCTCTCTCTCTTTCTCTTTCTTTCTCTCTCTCTTTCTCTCCCTCTCCCTCTCTCTTTTTCTTTCTCTTTCTCTTTTAATAATTGAGATACAACATTTTGACCTACCTTCTGAACCATATAGACTTAAGACTCTGCCTATGTTGACTGGCTTATGAACCAGATCAGGTCTTAGATCTTATGCTGTGAAAGGTTCATTAAAAATGGTGGGAGGGAGTGGCTAATGGTTTATCCTATCTGAAGTATGTTAGTCTTGTTTTTGACAATCATGTTTATTTTTAAGGAGCAAAAGAGATTGGTTCATGAATTTGTTATCAATGTATTGCTAATATGATGGAAAAGCAAATGAGGAAAAAGCAGACATGTAGACAGGAATCTCTCGTGTGGAAGATTTGGGTATGATCATGATATAATATTGTAAGGTCCCAAATGTACTTGAGTCACCAGAATGCCAAAGAAAGAGACTCAAGACGAGGCTTGCAGAAGCAGATTTTATTTATGGCCAAAAACAAAATACTCGGTGGGACTATATCCAGAACATACAGATAAAATGCATATGAGGAAATAGCCACCCCTTGGGAAAATTATGGCATCCTTTTATACCTTCAGAGGCATTAGCTTAATACTCAATTCTGGCCCCCTGGTCCATGCCTTTCCTGTAGTCCAGCATTAACTGTGCAGCAAGGAGCAGGGGCAGGGGGGCTGAGCGCCTAGCAACAGAGAGCTGGGTGTGTAGCAACCCCGCTTCTTGAGATATTCACCAGGCACGGAGTGGTACAGAAAAACAAGATAATATAGAGTGGAGATCACTGCTAGAAGCAAATGGCAGAAGCAATTCTAATTCTTAGCAAAGCAATTCTTACAGTAGCAAAACAGCAACTCAAACCAATTCTACTGACACTACTATTATGTCCCACTAATTCTACCTGTTTTTATTATTATTATTATTATTATTATTATTATTATTATTATTATTATTATTATTATTATTTTGTCCCTTCAATATGCTTGATATTCATCTTAGTTTGATGCTCTCTAGATCTCTTGGACTACAGTGGCCATAATCTGCTGGCAAGGCCATTGGTTAGGGATGAGGGGAAGTACAGAGGTATAGATTTGTGGGTTCAATAGTTGGAATGTAGAATTGTTTTTTAGAGAGGATTTCATTCTTGGATGTGACTTGGGGTGGTTGTGCTTGCAGGAGGAGATGGACCTCAAGGTGCTTCAGTTCAAGAATAAGAAGATAGCAGAACGTCTGGAGCAGCGGCAAGTGTTTGAGGATGAGCTGCGTGAGCGCATAGAGAAGCTGGAGAAGAGGCAGGCCACTGATGATGCCACTCTCTTGATTGTCAACCGCTACTGGAAGCAGGTTAGAGAGCCATCCGGGCTGATCTCGTGTTACTCCTTTCAGCTTCTAATCCATAAATTAACATACCAGGGGGAATCTTAAAGGTTTCAGCAAGATGTCTAGGGGCAAAAAGAAAACTGCTGCTGTTGTGGGTCCTTAAATTTCTCTCTGCTAGGCAGAATCAGAATAGAAAGTCCTCAATTTACAGCTGCAATAGAATGTGTGTG